TATGGACGCTCGATTACCACGACATCTTTTAACAAAGTGAGGCGATAATCGGATCCATATTTTTGTTCAAGAAATTATGGACGCTCGAATACCACGACATCTTTTAATAAAGAGAGGCGATAATCGGGTCCAGGATTTTTTCCGGCACCCGATTTTTCGACGTACGGAATTTTTTCCGGCACCCGATTTTTCGACATACGGTATTTTTTCGGGTACCGGATTTTTTTAACGTACTGAATGTTTTTAGATACGGAATTGATTCCAGTACCGATTGAGAGAACAATTGGGCCAAGTGTTTATCATAGTACAGAATTCGGGAACCAGATAAAATTAGGTGACAGAAAAATAAAGTTGGGTCACCTAATTTTAAACAGGCATCTCATATAGAGATAGGTACTTGAATTTCCACTAAATATGTCAGGAGTACAAAATAGGCACTGATTTTTATATTGGTGCACCCAAACTACTGAAGTAGGTATGTAATACTTTTGACACAGAATTTACACCATAGAATTGTGCTCATTAATGAATTGTGGTTTTACTTAAAAAGCATTACTGTACTTGTATATTTATAGGCTAAATTGTAGCTTTTAGCTTTTATTTATAAGAGGAAAGGAATATTGGTTTAAAAGTAACATCCTTTACAATCAAAGGTCCATGTGCAGTATGGCAAGTGATTTTAGACAGTCATATAATTCACCACGAGTATTTTCTGGGTATAAATACAGTGTTTTTTATTAAAACAATATGGTTTCTTAAAAGTGACTTCCCCATGATAAAAATATCAATCCCACTCTCTGAAAAATTATGGATTAGGACCCCACCTTGTCACTTTTTTAAAAATGTAACGCTTATTTTCTAAAAAGAGGATCTTGTTTTTCTCAATTTAAATGTATCAAAAGTTTCAGCTACACTATATTAATAACTTTTGAAAAGGGGATGGGTATTGAAATGCGATTAAGTTAAAAACCACATTTCCCATGTTATTTTCCCATAGGGAAAACTCAGTTTTCAGCATGATTATGGTCATCAAAAATTGATAACTTCAAAACTAGACTTTCAATACCATTTTACTTTTGACAATGTTTCATGCAATAAAGATCAGAAAAAGAAGATCTTCTTTTGACCAAATAAGTTCAAAAAACTGTTGATGTGGGGTCCCTATTCATTATTTTTCGAACTGTTTGATTGATATTTTTATTATCATGGGGACTTCACTTGAAAAGAAACATATTGTTTTAATAAAAACCACTATATTTATACCCAGAAAGTACTCATGGTGAAAGATATGACCATCTAAAATCACTTGCCATACTGCACATGGACCTTTCATCTATTTATTTTACTGTAATTTATTTATTATCCTGTGTTTCAGCACTAGTCTCTGTATTCTGCTTTATAGTGTCAGAATCCCATTTTGAGTAAGATATTAAGAATATTCTAAAATATTGAGAGACAATATGTATTGAAATGGACAAACCATGTGGTATAATGACACTTTAAATGATATATATTTTATAGACATTTGATTTATGTCTGTTATTGGGTGATGGTGTTCTAAATGGTCCACTCCCCTACATAAATTTGGTAATGTCTGGGTCACATTTGCTCCGATCCATCTGCTGGCGCCCGGCCGATTGAGTGTTTTGCTCAATATTGTATTCAATTTTTAACAAAATACTCTATCGGCCGGGCGCCGTAGTGAAAATTGGAGAAAATGTGACCAAGGCATAACTGGAGGTTTTTGTTGGATAGCATACTGTATATATTAAAGCTTGTTGATGTTTGAATCTTAATTTAGGCTAGTGCCTTTATTAAAATAGATCGGAAAAGTATATTTGATGGTTTTCCAAACATAAACAGGCATTTTGATCTAAAAGAGGACGTCCAGTTACCAAACTTATGGAGGGGAGTGTACACTAGGTGTATGTCAATATATACAAGTATCATTTGTGATTTTTATTTTGTGTGTGGGTGGTCTTAATATTTATTATGTTTTTGTTTAGTTTTACTGCATATTCCACTGTTTTGTGATTAGTTGGTTTGAAGAACTTTTTCTTTTGCCAAGTATAGGTTTAGGTTTTAATTTATTTATTTATGATTTAAGTGATTCTCATTTTGTTGAGAAAATATTTACTGGAGTGTAGTTTTTTTTTTATTGGAATTGAAAAGTGCTCTCACTGTTCTCGTCTTGAGCTGGGGTTGATGCACTGGGGCAGGCATGCGGGAGGCGCTGCAACAAGAAATCTAAATCAATACAAAAGCAAGAAAATGGTTCAACTTGAAATTTTTACAGATGCAAAATTAGACCATTAAGTTCTGATTTGGTTATGGACATACTCGTTTATTTTCAAGGCAATATCTTCAAGTGTAATGTTATGATTATTGCATTATTGCAGACTCATTGGTCTTAGTTGTTTTATAATTCCACTAACAAATCTGGAGAAATTGTGTTGAAATGATTGCAAGTACTTTGCAAAAATTCGCTATGGTAATTAAATACAACATGCAAGAATGTACCCAAAAATATGTTATTTGCTTTGCTGGGCCTGGTACAACAATTTATATTCGCACATCTTTAGGTCCCCTACAAGGATCTGAAGTCAGAATAAACTAGGTCTTTTAGTCATATTGAACCCTTTGGCATCTCATTACACACATTGGCCATTCATCTTTAAAAAAGATCGTTCAGTTATCAGGGTTATAGAGGTTTTAAATTGTTCACACTTTTCCCTCTTAAACCTGTATATGTCTCTTCACTAGTATTATATCCAGCTTGGTAAAATCAAATATTTTATCTTTGAAACACTTTCATTCTATATTTATTTTGGGATGTACGCACATAATACTAACTTTACTAAGTATTCACTTCAAGGAATTGTTCTGTATTGATTGTTGTTATTATTTATTATCATTGTAATTATTTATTGGAATGTCTTGGAAAATATACACAGAATATACACAATTTCAATTATTATGTTGCTTTGATATTTGACTTTTGTATGGAGATTGCATGTACATGTAAAGTGAAACCTATCAAATTGAACACTATTAGGAAGAGAGAAGTGCTCATATAAGCATGTTTCATTGTATTGAAAATAAAAATGTTCAAACATGAGTTGAGTTGTCTTATATCTCCCATACATTAGTGCCTAAAACTTTAACATGTCCTACATTGAAATTTGCATGGCTCAAAAGTGTGATATTGATTGACATGTGACATTGAAAAGTTACATATGACCTTGACCTCTCTGTATGACATTGAACTCCACTCATGTTGAGTTGAAGTAACATATGATGTTACACTCTGTGTATACAACATTAAACATTGACATTAAATGCTTGTCCTTTAAAAGATACATATGACCTTGAACTCTGCCGTAGATGCTATTTCGTTACTTCGGAGTACTATAGATAACTTATTTTAATCTTATTTGGTTTCTCAATGTTGGTAATTACCATTACTGTGGGATAGGTTTTGTCAGCTGCATTACCATCCTGATGGGTTTTGTCAGCTGCATTACCATCCTATGAATAATAACAACTATGTATCTTGCAAACCTTCATCTCACTTGACAGAAACAATCAATTATGTCATTTCAGTGAAGAATTTATTTCATGTTTTATAAATTAGTAAATACAACAATTAGACAGACTATCTACATGCCTGTTACTAAATTACATAACTACATTGAAAGTGAAAAATATAAATTATTTCATTCATAAGCATCAGTGTCTACATTATGTAGCTATATCAACTGTAAAAATATTTCATTAACTATACATGTACTTAAAAATATATTCTTTCATCAATCACATCAATATTGTTAACAATATGTCATTAATATCACTAAAGCATACAAGGCATATAACACTACAAAATGTAACCTCCTGGTTGCAATTACAAAATGTAACTACCTGTTACAAATACAAAATGTGGATCACAGAAAATGGATACAATAATATATCACCAAGGTTAATGATGACATCAAATGACTGTAGTGGCAAGTGGCACACTTTAAGAGGTATCAAAGGTGTTCCACTTATACATGTTTAACTTTATATCACTCCAATTGCTTACTATCAATCATGGCATCATTTTTCATCATGTTAGGATACACTGCATTACAACAACACAACATGCATTACAAGTATAAATCAAATTGATGTGACAAAAATGGATACATTTGTCAAAACATATACACAGTCAATGTTAAATGTAAACATAAGAGTATTTACATAAACAACTTATCATAGAGTCAAATGTATTATTAACAGCATTCTTAATAATCTGTTTTCATGAATTTGGCCTAAATTAAACATGAATGTCCTGGTACACAGTTGTAACATTAAATTAACAAACAACACATGCAAATAAATATAAATATATGTAAAAAGCTAAAAGTAAATAACCAGCAGTGCCTTCCTACAGACAGCAAGTAATTTGCATTTAACTTTTTTGTAAAATTGTGCATACGAATGAAAAGTTTTTATAATGGAGGAAATACTTAATCTTTATTTATCCTGATGTTTTAAATAATAAAACAATTAATATTGCACTGTGGCTTCAGAAAATTGAAACATTGCCATAAGGTTTGGGGGACTTCTGTATAAGTGATTGGATAGGCAAATCCAATCATAAACATCACATCGGAAAAAGTATTTTTTTTAACATTTTGGTGATAACAACACCTATTGCTCATTTAATTTTGCACTTCAGCTTACATTCAGTGTGCAGTTATGATTTGGGGCATGCCCAAATCATGATCTCTACTTTTTCTCTCCAAGTTCAATAACGTGAATAACTTTCCATTCGTAATTTTGTCAATTTTGCCATATCAAATATATGAATATGATCAAAGACCTGTTCCAATATTGTAAAAATATATCAGGGTCATGATGACAGGGGAACTTGCATCTACTGATAGTTAAATCATCAAAACACTCAAAAACAGACTTGCCAGACAATTTTTGAAATTTGCCATTTAGAACTGCACACCCTTTTTTGCTGAACACTCCAGATTACGTTATTGAACTTGGAGAGAAGAAAGTATAGATCATGATTTGGGCTTGCCACAAATCATAACTGCTTACTGATCAGCTTAAAAAATGAAATATGGTGTAAAAGTATCACCTTTGCACTTTGCAGTTTTTCTCTATTTAGTGATTGGACAAGCAAAATCCAATCATAAAACATCACAACAGAATAGTATCTAATAAACATTTTGATGAGAACAACTAATATGATGCAAAACTTTATCATAGTTGCACTCATTCATAGTTTGGGTGTCTTTTGTACAAGTGACTGGATGGGCAAAACCCAATCATAAAACATCACATCAGGAAAAGTATCATTAAACATTTTCATGATGATAACACGTGCTCAGCTCTTTGGTCATCTTTTGTAAAGCTCATAAGTAAAAAGGCAACTAAGGATAAAGACAAGTAGAGGGTAACTTTTTGAAAAAAATTGTCTCAATTATATATGTTCTAGAAGAGTTCCAAAATTATTTCGTGCAATTTTTTGGAACGTGGACAACTGGACAACCCTTTTTTGAGTAAGAAGAAAACACCAGCATGCCTTTAGAAACAGCATGCCTTTAGAAAATATTGTTTTCAACATTTTTACACCCTCTACCCTATGTTGCCACTTTAAATTCAGATATATGACCTCACAATATCACTTTTATCACTGTTACCTTAAGGTAAGTTACCTGTAAAAATAGGTAAAAGAACCACATGGTTATTGCCAAACATACAAAATATAATTAATATCATGGGCTTTCAAAGCCCATGTTAATATGTAAATATCATGATTATGACATAACTTGGTGGGATTAGCATGTAAGCCTCAAGTCTTTCAACTTTTCACATTTTATTTCTTAAACCCCTTTGTGGATCTTTACTATTTAGTATGCGTTCCATTGTTCAATACTTTCTCAACATATCAATTCACTATATCTCAAACAACTTATACTTACATGTAACACAGTCTTACTTTAAGAAGACAAATGGCGAGTCAGCCAAGAATTAATAAATAATAAACCAATATACAAGGGTACTAACCAGACCTTGTGACATCCAAGGCGTAGGGATACATGTATACTCTAATTCGGTGGTATAAAATGCACATGGTATGATGAAGTCTGGTTACGTACCCATGAATGTTGCATCATGTACACTGGTACACTTAGCAAAATAATCAGATTTTACGACCTTATTTTATTTGCAGATTTGATCTGCTATTTGCATATTTAGGAATCACCTGATCATCCGAAACAACCAAAATAATCTTTCTCCGTTGACTCATATCGTCCCCATAGTTTATCAAGAACGTCATCTGGCAACCATTCCAGAAAGCATTTAACAGTGTCATCGTCATAGCGACGGCTGAATAAAACACCAAGAATGTATTCTGGTTTGATGTTGAACTCGTTGCATTTAGTTACAAGGTTGGATACAGTGTTATCTTTGAATTGGGAATCGAATTGTATACGAGTCATGAACACCTGGTCAGTTTCATGCGATATCTCTTCTCGTACCATTTTGACATCATTATCCAAGATGGTCGCAAAACAATAATATCGTTCTGGGCAATCGTAAAAAACATCCGAACTGTAAGAACTTGAAGAATCCGAAGAATCAGTGTCCTGAGGAACTGATGTGCTGACATTCATGGCATCATAGGTTTCTGAACATACAGGAGTACCAATGCTGAACCTCTTGCTCTCATTGTCTCTTCTTTCACCAGCTTCAGGGCTGCTTCCTTTCATCACATCTGTGTCTGTGTCCGAATCATCCCTGTCATGACCCACTGACATGAGCCCAGAAGACATGGGTCTCCTCAAAAGTGTTACCTCTGGGTACCCCTCAGATTCACTGTTGCTACGACTACCTGAAAATAAATAATGTACTATTTCAATTATAATTGTTTAACAAAAATTGTGGATGAATTGCACCAAAAAATATGTAGGATACATAATATATATATGCATGTAACTAACATATCATTCCACAAATAAATATGTGAGAATTGATGTACCTACGTAAGAAAAGATGGCACCATTCAGTGAACTCAAGTCTTGATTCCTTCTAGTAATACCTTCATTCCAAAAGTAACTATAATTTGTTATGTATTAGGATATATCTTTTAATCTTCTCATTTTGGTGGTCAGTTTTGAAATAGGTCAAGTTGAAGAAGTAGGTCAAGGTGAAAAGTTGGTACAGATAAGAACAAACACAAACAGATAAGTCCATGAATAACCCAAATCAAAAGGATAATAAAAGATGAACACTAGAATAGGCTCATCATAAAATCAGTGCCAAAGACCAACAATATTATGTTCATACATTATATGAAACTGTTTTTGACAACTTAGAAAGGCCTTTAATCATTATAATTATCACTATAGTGACAACAATCATAATATAGGATACCAGGTATCTTCTAATTACTATTATTCTTTAGGTACCTTGACTACTAGGGGCATCGTCATCTACATTGAGGAGGACTTCCTGAGCCAGCATCATCTGGCCGACCTGCATGGCTGAGTGTCTCTTACTCTGTCTGTTACGTATAGCAGAACCTGAAAACATAATAAATAATAAAAAAATACAGTAAAACCTGTCTGATGGAACATCTTTCTGTAAATAACACCTGTCAACAAGAAAAGTCTGGAAAGTATTCCTTGTACATGGGTTTTACTGTATATAAACATAAGAGCTAGCTAATAGGGGAAGACCAAAGCATATCAACAAACCCAAATATCCCAAACCCAAGATATATGTACATTTGCATAAATTATGATATTAGTATTAATTAAATCAACTTCATTTACTTCAGACACTAATGCAGTATAATTTATTTTCAGAGTTTCACCGGTTATCCTGTCAGCGTTATCAAAAAGTTTGATTTTATAAAAAAAAAAAAAAAAAAAATCAAAAATATTTTTAAAAATGGATGTACACAGTTATATCATTTTTGACGTAATAACTGAATAATATAATACCCAGGTGACGGTGACCTTTACATAGAAATGGCATTGTTTTAATATGAAAATTAAAAGAAAATTCTTGATAAAGCTGGAAGGATAAATGGAAATAAATTATATTAGTTTCTTAGTAAATGAACTTTTAAGTTAATCAATGCACTACCAGAGTTTACACAGAAATATAATTTTAGGGAATGACTTGAAATAAGCCAAAGCTTATTCCACATTGAAAACAGTTTTCAAGAATTTAAAATGAATACCTGTTACATTGTGCAATATGTTCTCATTGACATTGTTCACAACCCAATCAACTAGCTGCTTCCCTGTGAAACATTTCCTGATGGCATGTAGACTTCTCTTCATCTTCTCAAGAACACTTGCTGGTAACCCTGGTGTTCTGACGGGTGGCATCTCGGAGTCTGATGCCTATAACAAACATGTAACAAGGCATTAACATACAAAATTTCACTACCTGCCATCTTTACAGACACCAAATCCCGACGTGCCACGTGTCAAATGCGGAATGCTGAATGCCAACTGTATAACACCATCCAGAAAGAAGTTGGAGACATGGACAGTTGGTGGTGACATAAAAATCCAAAAATAAGTGGAATCATGGACATTTGATTTTACAGAAAGCCTATGATTGAATCTGCATGATAGCACATAAGGTGATGACTTAAAGTGTTTACTAAGTGAAAAGTTTTGATTTAATTTTTCTTTTATTTTGAGTATGGTGCTGGTGCCCCCTCCAAGCCATGGGCGTGAATTTTAATTCAGGTAATTTTACTCACATCTTGCTTGCACATCTGGTAGTAGAGGGACACAAGTCTCCTGGAGGGGAAGCTATACAGCTCCAGAATGAATGTAACCCCACTCTGAAACAATAAACATAAACATATGGTATTTTACATCTTTAGGTATTCAAAGGCTTTGTATAAAAAACCTCCTACCTCATACCCACCTACCCACCTACGTGGAACATGATAGTCATTGAAGGGTTCAATTTTAAAGATTATTAAATCTCGAAAATAGCTCAAATTATTTAACATTTCTACAATTCCGCTTTTTTTATGACTAGAGAGATGACAGATCCATAAATAAAGGTGGATGCATTTTAATTTGTTATGACCCGAGGGTGCCCCAGGGGAATAAATAACTAACGACCGCGAGCGTAGGTCCAACAAGCCAGATAAAGAAATTGAAAGAAAGTGTGCTAAATTCGATGCCCCGAGTGGGAATCGAACCCAGCTGGGATGAGTAGCAACTTGCTATCAAGGGTCATTACAAATGCATCTATAATTCATCATAAACTAAGATTTAATAAACTAAGATCTTTAAAATTGAACCCTTCAAAGACTGTATCATGTCCCACGTACATGGGTAGTTGGGTATGAGGTAGGAGGTTTTTTATACAAAGCCGTATTCAAAGGTTCAACCAAATGAAAAAAAAGAATAAAGGCGGTCAAAGTAGAATGATCCAACTACAACTAATTTTATAACTTTCAGCATGAGCTGCAAGGATATAAGCACAACCCACAATAAATGTATCGCTGTTTTATAAAATTATTGACCAGTTTTCGTTACATAGGTTATCTACGGTTTAAATTTGTTACATATTAATAAATGCCTTGCAATATTAATTGCCTTATTTCATCATAAGATTACTAGTTTGTTACTATACCTTAAAAAACTTCATTTTAGAATTTCTTTTAGAAATCTCAATTCAATAAAAATCAAAATTGCATTTGTATTCCAAATGAGGTATATAACACTTAAACTAGACTGCAAAAATATGTACCAGTATGCACTTTTAATAGCACTAATGTCAAACTGCCCGAAGTGTTCTTCAAGTCGGCACAACCTTTCTAAAATCCTTATAAGGCAACACTGCCTTATGATTCTGGATAATTGGAAATTTAGACATATTTAACCCCATTGTGATACAAGAATTAGTAAATGTTTGAGAAAAATTTAGAAATATTACGATTCAAAAATATTTCATTAATTCTCTGAAATTTTAAATCACTGAATGGGACTAAATCAAACCACCTGTTGACAAATTGTTTAATACGTTAATACTGAATAGCGAGCCAATAACAAAAAATGAAATCAAAATGGAATATGTCAAATGTCAAAAAGCAACATGCAGAGCACTTCCTCCTCTTCCAAATGATTTCATTTATATATTTATTTTATTTATATATTTTCCTCATCATTTTTGTTTCAAACTTTTTCATAGCTATATTACCTGACAAGAAGTTGTCTATGAGATTTTTGTATTTTATTTTACATCCATATTTAGTTTTACAATTGATATTCAAAAGAATGAATTTATATTTTTTACATGGTACTCTATTGTGAAATTTCATAATTCATAATGTGTTTGATCAGGATGTAGTTTAATAGTTCAGTTTTTCTAGAAATAGTGACTGGATAAAAATAGATTCCAAGGTTATGCATTCTTCAGGGTCATGAAACAAGGATCTCTTGATGGTTAAAAATGGCAGCGTCAAGCCTCGTGGAAAAAATTAAGGACATATTAGAATGCAAACTTTGCTTTGAACGATCAAAAAATCCAAGAAGTTTTCCATGTCAGCATTCATTTTGTCTCGACTGTATTGACAAACTTGTGAAAAAACTGGCAAAGAACAATCGAATAAACTGCCCATTGTGTCGATATGTTTGGAGAATACCACCTAATGGAATCCATGCATTGCGTAGCAGTTTCCTAATAAACTCATTGATGGATGTACACACAGGGGACATTGATGATGTTAATTTGAATTGTGGAACACATCCAGATCAACGACTTGGATTATACTGTGAAGATGACCATTCACTGATTTGCCTCCAATGTTACGCTTACAACCATGCAGGACATACATTTACAGAAATTGATAAAGCTGCTTTTAAGTACAAGCAAGACATTGACAGCCGTATTAAAAGGTGGGAACAACTTAGTGCAAAACTAAATGATGCGCTTAATGATCTAAAGGCCAAAGAGGATCAATTCAGAAATGACACCGAAGCTATCATAACACATCTGAATGAAAAGCGCCTTGAGACTGAAACACTTTTAAGGGATATTTTTATGGGATGGATTCGCGGAATAAGAGGTGCCCAAAAGAGTGAAATTAGGAAGAAACATGTGGAACGTGATGATCTTCAGCTTGCCAAGGTGGTAGCCGACAGCATGGTGATTCAATTGAAAAACATTACAAATGATGCTGACATAGTGAAAATGGGCCTAGAATTGAAGAAAGATGAGAGGCAAATACCATCCATTGCACACCCTACTTCTTTTGGCCCAGTGCCATTCCCATCAACACCAGTCACCCTCACAATTGATCCAAAACAGGACATATCTACAGAGGATAAAATAAAGGATAATGATGAATCTAGTCCCGACAAAGATTCAACTCTATCTGAACAGCCACAGTCTTGTGTTGAAGAGCAGCCAACCGCTGTAATTTGTACCACCTTTTCAGAACCGATTCTTTTGAGAAGCAAACACCTGCCATTACAGACACAGTACTCCATGTTACACAAGTTCTTCAGATTATTCAAATCTGAACAAATCCTTGACTTGGCCATATTGAAAAATGAAGACATTATTGCCATCAGAGTAGACTGCGTGGAGATTTACAGTTCAACGTTCATGTTGAAAAAGATGATTGCAATATCAAAATGGAGAGTGACTGAAATTGCGAACGATGAACTTGCTTTCACCGATAACACCAACATTGTTAGTATATATACTACTGATGGGAGACATAAACAAGATATTGCAACACCATTTGGTATGTTACATGGTATTGCAGGGAGCAAAGATGGTACCTTAGTGGCCAGTGCTTTTCATACAGATGCCATACTTTACATTGATGTTAATACAGGGGTAATGAAAACAAAAACAAAGTTACTCAAGCAGGAGAGTGATAATCAAATTGAACCGATCAATGATCATATTACCATGGATAATGATGACAATGTAATTATGTCCGACTGGGGAAACAACTGCATCAAAGTTGTTGATATGGAAAACAACACAGTCATGGAATATGAAGGCTCTGGAGATGAACAACTTTCAATGCCGATGAGCGTCACAGCTGATAAACATGGAAATGTTGCTATAGCAGATTACCAGAATAACAGGGTCACCCTCGTTAACAAAAAAGGTGACTTCATCAGGCATCTACTAACAAAGGATGATGGACTTGACTACCCTTGTGCTACAGTAATCAACCTTCAGGGACATCTATTGGTAGGAGACAATACTGGGACAATCTTCGAAGTCAAATATTTGGAAGGTGATGAAGTAATGGACACAAATGCTTCATAATGTCTCAAATAAGCCACTCAACATCCGTATAATTAAAGATTAGTTAACTCCACAGTAAACTTTAAGGCTTAAGACAGAAACATTTCCATTTATTGTTTTTTGCACGAATAAAATTAAATAAAACGTGATGTAAATCTCGTAGCTGGTACATTACATGCAAACATTGACATTGAAGAGTGTAAAAAGCTTGAGATCACATAGGTCACATGACAACATAACAATAGAAAAAAATAAACATGTGCACGGAACCCTTTGCAATTTGAAGCAGGATCATAAAAAAATGCAACAATTTGATCTAAATGTAACACTATGGTCACGGTCAGGGACTTAAAGGTGCAATAATTAGTGCAGAGGGGTCATTCAACGATCATGGACCAGTGTCAAAATATATTTAAGTTTGGATATTTCATCAAGACTAACATCTATTTTTATTATCTACAAAGAAACCCCCTAGATAAACATTATTTTAGCTGTTATTCCTCTTGAAACATGGTGGATCTTAAAAATATAAAAGTGGAAGTCCCCTTTTTGAAGCTTTGAACTGAATTTACACTTTTTAATGCTGAAATTGATAATTTATCCATACATTTTAAGAAAATAGGTATGTCAAAGAAGATGTTAAACAAAATGTTGCCTTGATAGTTCAGAAAAATGAAAAAACTTTCCTACATTGTATTTTCTCTACAGTCCTTATTGCCCCTTTAATGATTTTGAAAGAAATGGACTTGAAACTCAAGAAAATCTTTTTCTTTGTTTTTTTTAATTTTATTTGCCTTTTATTTTGCCTGGGCGGAATTATTGCAAAAGAATTTCTCACAATAAATATTTGCAAGGTAAACAAAGGAGACTTGATACATCGAAGTCTCAGCTTTCTTTGTGTGATGAATCCTTCTTTGTACTTAGACTGTGTTTTTGGGTTCAATAAAAGGGACTTAACATGCAAATGTCACCACCTGTCAATTGTTACAGACATCAAACACCAACTGGTGAATGTTGAACACCAAACACAAAAAGTTTGAGATTTCACTATAACAAGATGCCACTACTTGTGGTGGTGAAATAATAAAAACGCTTTTGAGGGTGAGGCTATTAGAATGTCTAGAAGCTGGTGTTTAGATCAATCTGTGTTTGAATAGGTAATTGAAATGAATTAGTAAGCCTTTCAAATACAATATCTTTCAACTCAGTCTTACCACTTTTGATGTCAATGTATCCAAGTCAACCTTTTGTCCCTCTTTGTAAAACATCTTCAGAAAGAACTGCAAAACAGTAAACATGTTTGCTAAAATTGTGCAGACATTTTCATTTGTAAACACAGGATGATGACACATAGTTAAAAACATATTTTAAATATTCAACTATTTAATCTGAACACTTTTTCGGTCCCATTTTTTCCATTGACTTCCATGTTAAAGAAACCTTGAAATGTGAACACCTCCTGATTTGAGCAGAGAACAGCTACAGTATATATGAAAAATTAACCTTTCTAATATGAACACTCTTTTTAACCTATCACATGTTTCATACAAATTTGCTCAAGCATTTCAAATTAATCACTGTTTTATCATGATATTCAAACTTTTGAAAAAAACATTGAATGATCTAAATCCCATTGTGTCTTTCTAGCATGACCACTAAACTCATTTGAATCAAATTTTTAGAATGCCATAAAGTTACTTGGTCAATAGACTTGAGAATGTTTTCACATTTCTTTCAAGTCCTGAGAATCTCACGAATGCACAGACCTTGGAATGTGAACACCTCTTTATACAAATGCTTCTATTCACTCCCAATGGCATTTGGATTAGACAGTTATACATTGTACTGTATATGTCGAATTAATTTTTTGATACTTACCGCTAATGATTGTGAAACAAGTTCAGCCTGATAGTCTGTAGCACCCTCAAAATGACAGACATTCAAAGCTTCATTCTCAAAATCCTGAAACAAAATATTTTCATCACAATTAGTAATTTTCTTGTCCAGAGTATAAATATTTTCCATCAACATATGCAATATGCGATTTGAAAAACAGATTAAAGTACATGTAAATGTATATGGGGCGTGGGGTGTAGTCCATTTGTTTAGATTTATATGGAAACAGAAAGAAAAAGGCTTATAGACAATAATAAATGTTAACACATTTTAGTGTATCAACTAAATATGTACCTTGACAATGTATTCCCAAAGTTTGATGGTGACCCTATGACTTAGATGACTGTACAACCATTGGCCAAGAGCTGTCCAATGATTGGTCAGGAACTCTGTGAGGGGACGTAACCTGATATCCAATGGTAGATATGGTGCATCAAGAGCAAGCAGGAAATGAAGTGTGTCCCGGAAGAACAAGTTGATCTAAGTAAAACAATTAACAAACAAAACTGGTAAAGGTTCCTGTGTCAGGGGCTGTTTCACACCATGTTTTACATGAAAGATCCTTGTTCGGGATTTGGGGTGTTTTTGTCGATATGACCAGTTTATCTTTTTATGTTCCCTTTTCTTAATGAAATTTTAACATTTTTTAATATTTCATTTAGCATCTTGCGCATAAATATCATATCTAACACAACTTATTTACAATGTACACGTATTCCCCTTTTATCAAACAAGTAATATTTTTTATCACTCACCCTGTACGCAAGAATGTTTATCTGCCCTGCCAAGATGGCTTCCAGCTTGTGTTTGCACTCGCCAAAGATGACGTCTGCTAACAAAATATCAGTGCTGCCACCTAGTGACAAGTTACTACTCCCAGAGGACTCAGTTGTGGGAGTTGACCTTGAACTCCCTGCATGGTAACGATTCTGGAATGTGTCTATTACTGCATATTCTGAAAAAATATTGAATAAAATTTATAGGGACACATATTGAATTTGAATACTACAAAAAATCATTTTTCATGTTCAGGAAATTATGTTTTACATTTTGATAGTTTGAATCTTCATAAATGAACAATTCAGAAAATAATTTAAAAAAGACTTTCTGTTCATTTCATATAAATATTTAGGTTAAATTACAATATAATTCCAGGGCTATTCTTAACATTTCCCCAAAATTACATTTGTTCATTGCATTTTACGAGTATATGACTGTACCTTGCATTAGTTTTGATAGTTCTTCACTGAGTGGTGGTTCCATGTTGCGTAGAAGTGCAGAAAGCCGTGACACCTCTAAGGCTGCTATTGCCCTGTTCTTGAAGACTGGTAGGACTTCTAGCATGGTGGCTGTGTTGCATATCCTCATACACATCTACAGCACAATGAAGATTAGTATTTGTATTAAAGCATTATTGTTTTTATTGTGTAATTTCCTGTTATGAAATACGAGGTTTGTCCCAAAAGAATTTGCTCTAACTTTCTTGAATATTCTTCAATTCAGCTATAATCTTGTGTATACTACAATTTAGCATTGTAAGAAAGGACCTACTGGGTCCATGCATTGTAGAGGCCCTATGCCCATAAGGCATTAGCCTGTAAAATTTGAACCAAATCCATCAACCAGTGCATGAAGAATTGCCCAGACACACCAATAAACAGATGGACATAGGGCTTGAGCACTTCACATTATCCTTATCAAACATCATTCTTTGGAATAATCAAGGCTTATTATATCAGAAAAAAATTTTCTCATCTAAAATTTCAAGCATCTCCTTTGTTATCCTTTTCTTTCATAATGTTAAGTTTTGTTACCTCGTGATCTATGGGTTCATGTTTATCAGCAATGAACTTAGATTTCCTCTCTGTGTATGCCAGGCAATCTGAGTCCCCCCTGGCCATATGTCTGCACCCCCAGATTAACTTCTCTCCCCTCAGGGCAACCATGTCATCTACTAACTAAGGAGTACAGGAAAACATATGTTTACATAGTAAGTATTGTGTTAAAGGAAATACTAAATTCATAATATTTGACCAGTATTTCAGTATTACATTCAGCTTGCCTATTCTCTAAAACCTTCACATTGATTCCTAGATAAAAATAGAGATTAGAGTATTATTTGTGCTTAGATAAAATGAACAACAGTATGATATTATAAACCATTGCCTCTAGACCAGTATGGCAAAGCATACATGTACAATCATTTAATATCTACATGCATCTAACTGATTTACCTGGTCTCCCAATAGCTTCCTAGCTAAGGGTCCCATCATCCCACAAGCATCCATGCAGAGAATATTCATACCATACACATGTACACCTCTGCTCAATAACTGAAAAATAAATATGAAAACTGAACCAGAACCAATGTAGATGTATAAAACTGAACTCATTATACACACCCCGGAATAGCCTGACAAAGGTAAATGTCCGCCATTTGTGACAACCGTATCTGATTTTACCGTAGTCAGGATATTCCGGTGTGAAACAGTTAACACTGAACTACAACATAGAAAACATCTCTGATCTAAATATTAACAAAATTGAAACTAAACTGAACTATAATATACAAAAAAAAACTAAACATGATACATGTATGACATGTATCCATTTCAAAACAATGCACCTCGCCACCTGGTTGCACACATAATTACATCTTTAAATTTGTGGCCATGGATAACAATAAAAAAAACTCAAATCTGAAGATGTCCATATTATAAATATCTGTAAGAGATTGCTGTATGAATTTCACATCGATCTGATCATGACTTTTTAAGTCAACTTTGTAACAAATCATAGATATCTCATCATTTTTTTAATTTGTTGCTATGGCAATGGATATTGCCCAAATTCTGACAATTCTAAAGATATCAATAGACTACAATGGAGATGCAAGTAGAAATGATCAGGATTTTCTTCATTAAATGTTCAAAATTTAATCAAAGTGTAAACAGATACAAAAATGTCACAATAGTTACAGATGATAATACAAGAAATTTTCACATACCTGAAGCACCTTTTCGTAGATGGATTTCCTAGTGAACATAATTTCTTGCATTCTGTCCTGAGTATTTGTAGCAGCAGTATCTTTGTTGTCACCTGTTCCCATGTTAGTGTTTGTTTGCATAGTAGAATCTGTTGCCGAGGTAGCATACGATTCATTGTCATTGTGACTCATGGGGCATATAGTATTGCACATTGTTTGAGAAAAGTTGATCATGCGATTAAACATAACTATAGTGTCAAGAAGGGATCCAGACACCAGTAGTGTGGATACATCACTACTAGAGGGAGACACTGTCTGCCTCTTTTGACCTGTTGGTTGGACGGGTGGATTTGTAGATTTAGGAGTATTTTGTGTAGATTGCGTTGGTAAAATTTTCTTCAGAATCTGAGTACCAGGAGACTGAATCATGTCCTTTCTTTGGAATGTTTCTTTTTGTTGGAATGTGTCTTTTGACTGCATCGTATTATTATTTGGACTGTGTGCATAATGTTTGATATTCATAGGGGTTCTTCGGCCATTGTTTGCACAATTTCCATTTGTTTCTTTTGTGTAATATTCATTATTGTCATCTAGGCCAGTGTGCTGTTTAACAGCCTTCGGTTTTGGTAAGACTGACAAATCAGGATATGGTGAACCACATCCAGCAATCTCACTTTCTATGGTATCTGAATCTGAATCCATATCTATGTGACCAATTACCTCACATATTGCACTGACGTTTATAGGCTCTTGCTGTCTAATATCTTCATTTAAAGGCACTTGAGTGGAAGTTAAAGGTGATGCCGATCTTGCTCTGACTTCACTAATATCAACATGAAGGTACTGATGCTCGGGTGATGGCAAGCTACTAGGAGAAGACTGTTGCCTAAATGTGTGATTTGATCCTGGAGTAGCTTCAGGCTGGAAACTGTCTAAAGATGGGGATGAGAAACTGAATCTGTTTGGACTGAGATGATGATTTAAATGATCTTCATCTTCTGCACTTCCCAAACTATGGCTCAAACCAGCATCATCCGTAATACCTGTTAACGTTGGTTCAAAATTCAAAGAGAGGCTAGAGACTGGACGAGCGAAGCCATAATTATCCTCAAACCCTGAGCTACTAGAATACCTCTGTGGTTGCATTAAAGCATTGACCCTGATTTCATTTAAAGAGCGTTTATGGCGTTCCTTGTGTTCCGTATTGATTTGGTCACCTTGGTCGATATCTTGTGCATTTGATAGGGCATTTGTATTAGCATTGGGTCGTTCAGTGATGGATAGTCTTACTGGTATACTTTGTGACACTTTTACCCAATTGGAAGGTTCATTCTGAAAGAAAATAAACGAGTTAAAAAAAGATGGCATTATAATGAGTTAAGCACCCTCTGGGGGATTGACACTTACATACAGATCTTTATTTTATTAAAATTTAAGATATTAAAGTGTGTCAAATTAGAAACCTGAGATTTCTTAAACTCAAATCTCATGCTCAACCACTAAGCTACAAATATGTTTGCTGATTGAAAATGTCCTTAAAACATTTTTAATGTTAAATTACTGTAGTGAAACCTGTATAAACGAACACCTCTCTAATCTGAACACAACAAATATACATATGACATACACATAAAAGTAATGCAATATCAAACCACAAATAATAACTTACATGTTGAGCAGAGGTAGGTGTGGAAGAATTCGAGACTTGGTAGTTGTCAAAAGCGGAGTTAAGTGATGGTGTTAGAGACCCAATAGACACTGTGCGAGACCTCTGTCCACTTGATAGTGACCCCTTGCTTGGGATATCCAAGTCTGTGAACTACAATAAAATAATCACATCACATGATCTGGCTCAATTTGTTTACTGACATAATGGGTCACTCTTATATGGGTCTTTCTGCCACTCTTACATATGGATTTCTGTGACATTATGGGTCATAAGACACATATGGGTGATTATACAAGTTCCAAAAGGAACAGTGTAAGAGTCTTTTAAAAGTTCATGTAGTACAGAACTTCACAAAGTTCATCAGAAACCATTACACCATTATGTGAATTAACCTATATCTAAATGTACATCATTTGATACATTTCAAATTATTTTCTATCTTACCTTATCCATGCCTATAGACTGTAGAGTCAACCTTCCCATGCTGTATCTAACACAATCCAACCAATTCAATATCTGAGAGGAAAACTGATGCCGCCAAGTTTGTTTCCTGAAATGACAAAAATAAAGGCCTTAAAGGTATATTAACATGCAAAATATTTTTACACTCAAATGCAGGGGCTATTATACTTAGACTTTTGTTGAAAGAGAATTGTGAATCTACTTACTACTACAATAAAAATGACATTGTTCAAGTGCATTCATGTGTATAATGTGGATTTTTGGGGAGACATCTATTGAAGCCAAATTTCATGAAATCTCCAATTTGAAACAATAGCCAAATCAATTATCCATACAGTTTTTACTTTCTGCCAGACTTCTACTTACACAGGATTAATAAATTGTGCCCAATCCATATCAAGTGTGTTCAATCTATGCGCCAAACCAACATATTGAAGGTCAATCTCCTTTACAGAAGAGTTGTTAGGGATGTCAAGGCATTGCACGTCAATCATTAGAAGATTGTACAGTATTTGGCCACATACACTGCTAATATCAAAGTACCTGCAAATAAATATGGTATAGGATGTATTATTCTAAGGAATATATAGGGCATTTCATCCTAGCAACCAAAAGTAAAGAATCCAATATCAAATACATGTACACTAACAATACTTGGTAAATCCCCATATCTGTTCAAAATTACAATTCTGAATTATTCCAATATACAGAAGGCAGAATTTTTCTCCAAAGTTAATAAGCTAGAAGTATTCTACTGCAGCCTTGGACTTCAAGCCTCATTATAAAGCAAATTCATAAACATAGGTTGTCACAAAAGAAAAGATAAATGTAAGACACCCTGTAAAATGTCACAATTCAAACGTTATATTACCCACCTTTCAAAGGTAGAAGTAAAGTTAGTTTTGTAATCTTGGATTTCATCACGCAGGTTAAATATCAGTGTATTCACCAGTTTAGGTGTAATATCATTGTTGTGGATTTCAAGGCCTTCCATAGCAGACTGTTTCATAGCACTGTATCTCTCATAGCAACCCTCCTAATGTGAGATTAAACAACATCAATATAAAATAACAAGGCATCCCGGGGGGTTTACTGTGTACAAAATTTGGCGGGGGTCCTAGGCTGAACCCTCAGATATCAATATACATGTATTCCCATACCAAAATGTCAAATTTGGATGTGTTCCCATACCAACCGATATAGTGCCCAAAAGCCATACCAAATGCCCAAATATGAAACCAATGCCATACCAAATGTCAAAAAATATAGGACCAATGCCATACCAATGCCATGACTGGTCCAAAGTAGAATATTTCCTGGGAAAAAAGCTATTTATTTAAACTGAAGAAGGTTCCAAGAAGAAGGCGATCTTTGAGGAAAACGAACCAACAACCTCATATTAGTATATGTGTGACTACTTCACCAATTCCATACCATAATTGTGAGATAACATATTTTCCATGACCATTTTCATACCAGAAAGTTGAAAAATCTGACCATTTCCATCCCTCAAAAGTCATAATGAGGGGGCATTCTCTAACACATCCTAAAATGTGGGTCCATTGCCATACCAAATGTCAAAAAAGGTACCCAATGTGCGCCGAGGATCCCCATCAAGGTTTGTATACAGTGAACCCCCTGGGCAAGCCATTAACATGCAAAATATCACAAGCTACCACTTGTTACAGTGTCGACACTGAATGCCAACTTCCAAACACCAACACTGAACCCCATCCCCAAAAAAGTTCGAGACTACAACAATATGTCATTACATATGATGGTGACATAATAATGTAATTATAATCCCAGGTTTTGATTGGTTGTGAGCTTTTATGTAATAAAAAAGTAAAGATCAGTGCATTATCAAAAAAGTATTATAACACAGATAAGGAGATTTAAGAGTATAACCAGTCACATGGAAAAAATCCCCAGCATTCCAATGAAATGACCGACCTCAAACCAAGAGGATCATTTACAAATTCCATAAAATGTGTAAATATTGAAAAATTGATGCAACTTACAGTAACAATAGCTTAGTATGTAATACAATAATATACAGTAAAACACCCCTGTAAGTGGGACACTCCATAGTCCCATGACCCATTTATTTCATGTTAATTGAACCTCTACGAGTGGAACACCTCCTACATGGAACACTTTTTATTGTAAGTGACGTGTCCCTCTAGGTTTGACTCGAGTACTTACCTTAACAAACTGTTGGAAGTATTCAGTGATTGGTTTTTGGATTGTACAAAACAGGTTGTGTCTGAGTTGAAGTACAAGTCCTAATAGACGCATCAAACTCTCTACCCCTCCACCAGGTCTGTTGCACTCAAAGCTTGTCTTCATGCTAACAAAATGATGACGACACGCCCTGAATAGATTTGATGTGGATTCTTTCAGCATTTCCACCTGTGAGATGAAAAGATAAGAACATGAATCTTTTGCATGGATGATCCTAGATGATTAAAAATGATAAAGGGTTAAAATCAAGAGTAGCATAGTCACTGGATCCAAACAATGCATTGACATGCAAAATGTCACTACCTACCATTTGTTACAGATGCCAAACACAGAGCACCAACCACCAACCACTGAACACAGTCCACAAAAAGTTAAAGACTAATGCAATGTGGTGGTGACATAAAAACAATGCACTGCATATGTATACCTATACTCTAATGTAATTCAGGTAATCAAAGAGTGTAAAGTATATAAAAAACAACCTATGTATCTTCATCTTTTTAACGTAATTGATTACAAATAATCACTTCACATAATATACATACCTCTGATTTGACCAAGCTACCTGTACCACCCTGTGTTGTGAGTATATACATCATTTGTTTCACAAGGTCACACACATGCTCAATGTACTGTGGAGTTGCCTCAAAGTTGTCCACTACATGTTCTAGGTAGACCAACTTTCTGTATGAGTCGTCCTAAAAAATAAACCTTTTTTTATTTCATATAATGATAGCTATATACCCATTATTTTTATTTTGAAAAACTTAGATTTGCGGCATTTTTGAAATGTCAGCCATTTTGCAAATTTTTATTCATTTTTGTTGCATATTACTCACTACTAGTACTCAGGCCAAAAAACAGGCCCCTTGACAAAAGCTGACTATGGGCCTGCTACTCGGTCACATTGTACAACTCCCCACATAATTTGAGCGAAAAACTACTAAACCCAGATTTAAGGTATAACTAGCTTAACTGTACACATACCACACCATATCGGAGAGCAAACTCCTGTAAGAGACGTCCTGAAGCTGACGACAGGAGGACCATCTTGCTGTCTCGTCCTCTGTGAACCTCAAATGACTTTTCATAACTACAACAAGGCATTAAATGACAACATTTCAAAACCAAGTGTATTGCAAAAGGTTACATATTATTAAGTTAATATGTGCTACAGATGATTACCCCTAGGACACAATTTTTCAAATATTCAAAATTTAAACCACTATATGTAATTTACATTTCAATCAATGAAATTTAAAATTTAGAGATAATTTTTTTTATTTTTAAGGGAGGCAAATTTTGTGCAAACAGCGACATTTTTGACTAACAAAACCTCAAACTTTTAAAAATGTGTAAAGTACTGTAACCTTAACTTTTACACTCGGATACTCAATCATGCAAAATTGGTGTCTCAAACTTGTGTGTTAGTGAATAAAGACAGACAGAAGTGGCATGTTCATCTGTATATTCATCCGTTTAGCTACATGCATTTGTACCATCCCAAATTCACCATTTTGATAACTTGGGCCAAACAAACATATAAGTACCTGATAAATAGTTTCAAATCCAAGATAATAAAATTTTGTATTCTTACATATTGCTCTACTATACACATTCAGTCAAAACAAGTCTCAAGTGCCCATTGGATACCTTGATTGACCCCACTTCAGAATAATACTTCTCAAACAAATAACACATTAAACTAGAGTTTATATGATATGGTCAAACAAATAAAACACTTGATCACAATATTATACAAGTACTATGGTCATAAAATTGTTTCGGGGACCAGCAAACATTATGACCCAAAGACCACAACATTTTTCAGAATAATATCTAAATCAAATTTTTTCTGTAAAAGTTTCAAAACAAGAATACAGTAAGTATCTAATTATGTCAAGCCAAAATAATATTTCAATAAATATTGGATGTAAACTTCCCCCAAGATCAGACACTAATGTGGTAAAAGAACCAAATGTAGAGAAGGAAAGAAAGACATCTTTTCCATAAAAGCTAAAAGGATCAAAGTTTTTGGGATGACCTCACCATCATATGAAACTAAAAATTGCACTGGTACATGTATGATTATCTTAAGATTGAAGCTGATGAATTATACATACTTGATAAGTTTTTGTAGCAGTTGTTTATAAAGCCTATGAACATTATTGTAAGTCCATTCATAACTATCGTCTCCAAGTTTGTGATGTGAAGGGACAGTTGAGTGCCAGAATTTAGCAATAAGGGCAGTGATGTGCCTTCTGGTACTCTGCTGCCACCTATCATATGCATTACTAGACTGGAAAAACAGAAATATCTCGATCTTAACCAAGAGATATATAAAATAAAATAAAAAATAAATTTAGAGAGTTTGGTGAAGTAACTGCACATGCTGCCCATGCATCCTGGCCTGGATAAACTATAGTAGGAACCCCCCCCCCCCCCCCCCCACTCTAGATCTCAGCAAACCATGGGGTTTATACAATAAGATTGAGAGCCCATGGCAAAACCGAAAATAGAAAATAAATAAAATAAATCGCAGCGAAGCCAGGAAGGTGTTCAAAGAACATTGTGATTTTGAATCGATGTTATTGTATTTATCCTGACCAAAGAAAGAATCCCATAGAGTTGTTTAAATTCAGTGTATATCCAGTAATATCCCAAGACATTTTGTCTGTTTTTGGGCATTTTTTGACTTGAATTTACATGATGACAGAGAATGGATATATGGCACTGCAAGTCAGTAACCCTGCTGGGTAAACGTCACAATTTGCCTTTAATTTACAGTGATTAAAACAGAGAATGGAGATATCACACATAAGCAAGTCAGTAAGGTGTTATAATGTACTTCACAAAAGAAATATGTACATAAGGTACAATACAGTACAATATTCTTCAAAGAATTTACAACAAATTGTAGTAGTGATTTTAATAGGTCCTACCTGAAAGTTACTAACGCTATAATATGGATGGCAGTTACGCTCAAGAAGGGAGAGCTGATTGGCTAGCTCCTCAACAAGAATCTGAAAGTAAAAATAAATTTCTGTATATATATTTATGCGAAACAATAAAAGTACCCCAAAAAGTTGAGGCTAGAATTCTATCCTTTGAGAATATCAAATGATATTGAAGTTTTGAAGATCTTTATTGGGAGTACGGTAGTCTTGGTCTTTTTCTGTACAATGCATTCTGATTGCATTCAAAGTCAAACTTAATTTATCATGTATGAAGGGTAACTGAATTACATATATCATCAATGCATTTCTTTAAAACACCCAAGACTAATTTTACCCTGTCTAATTGTTTCCTTCCATACTGCTCGTAAGCTTTACTCTCATAGTGTCGGGTTCGTTGTTTGCTCAGTTTAAGAGACTGTCGTAGAATTTCACATAGTGTTTCAGCTTGAATACATGCAGCACTGTCCTCAAGGTCAGATGCTGTATCTATGCCAGAACTTGGGGATATAACGACCCCAGCACGAGAACTGGAATAATTCACCATGTTATATTTTTTCTATTTCAACAAAGCAGGAATATTGAAATGTCAATTTATGAATAAGAAAATGCACATATGATTATAACAACAGATCCAAATTATGTTTCGAAAATACTTTTATATCTATTTTTCTGCCAAATCCACTGTTATAAAAATTGGATGAATTCAAATAATTTACATGATATTCATACCAGATATATGGTACTAAAAAACAACATTTTTGGAGCCAAATATCAGAATTAGACTAATCTAAATGTATGCAGTTCATATGAGCAATACCTTTTGGCTATATCTATCTGGCTATGGCGGGAGTGATGTGGCAAGGGGGTGGGGGTTATCCCGCTTGGGGGGTCCGGGGCACCAAGGACTGGGAACTGAGCACAAAGTAAGACATGCTTGAATAACTGAAAATAAAAATCATGGAACTATTAAACTACATACTTTGTTTGTTCTCACAAATCAAACCACCACTGAAGACTTCATCATCGATTTGGCTTCTACGTGTACACTGTACAGTAGATAGTGAAATTGAAGCATATGGCAATTAACAATTCTTTTCATTTCTCGCTCTTCATAAAAAAACACATAACGCACATTTCTTCAGTTATGAGAAATGAAAGCATTTGGCATCCATTCTGTAGCAGATATCCCTGGCAGATATCCTATTCAGGCAACCAACTATAGCTTTAAATATGTATATGTACATGTACGTGTATAGCTCGAAAAATATTCATTCATTAATCTTACCTGAAGATCATCTTCATTGAGGAAGTCTGAACTGTTGTTGCTAGATGAGAGCAATGCATTATGGGTTTCTACAATTCCAGAGTCCCTCTCGTTTCCTTCGACCTAAAAATAGAAAAATGTAACTTTTGAAGAAGTTAATCATACATGTATATTTTTATAAAAACTGGCACATTCCTTAGATGGTCTTAATACCAATATCAAATTGTGTTACATACAACTAAGTTCATTATTATTACAGCATACGTATCTTAATTTGCTGGTGCTTTGTTCATCAAATACATATTCAATTTATAGAGATAAAAAACAAGCCCATGGTAAATGGTTGAATTCAATGTGTATTAAAATAATTAAATGGGATCAAAAATCATCAAAAGCAAAACTGATATAACAATTGAGTACACCTAAAGTATAGTACACTGTATGTATAAGGTAAGATTCGAAACTTTATCAAAAATATATATGCTTTAGCTAGAAAATATTCAAAAGTGGGACTTACTGGCCGCATTGTTCCATCAACATTGGGGCATCCAGCTAGAGATAAGCAACACTTTCTACAGCTGGAAATGTTGAAACATGAATTCATCAATAGTTGCCTTGACCAATAAGAAAGTTAGCTGGCACTGGCTTTTCAAAACTTACATGTATATTGGCTTGCTGTCTTGTGAATAGTTTACACCATATATCATCATAGATGTAATAAAATGCATTATTTATATATTTATCAAATTAAAGAAGAATATATTGCACTAACAACTGGTTTCTTACGAATTTTAAATAAAACTGTTATTCTACTCTCAATGTTATATTTTTGTCATTTAAACTTACTTGTATTGATTCAAAAATAATTTTGATGATCATTTTTCTCTTGATTAGCAATAAAAAAAAACCTTTGAATTCTGATATAATATATAAATGAACTTAAGAACAAATGGTAATACAGTACAGATTGATGTCATTGTCTCTTGAAGAGTTGTTCAAATCTGATATCACTAGCAAACAAATAAATGCTTTGAATTCCCATGCATGCGCGAATGACCTAGCTGATGATCCAGTTGAAGGCAATCTGACAATGGTGTACGTAAAATATGCAACAGTATTCAGTGGCTTCATTGAAATATTATTGTTCATTTGACATTAAATCATGGATCAACAGGAGTCATGGTTGAATGAATTTCCTACTTAATTGAATGCATTTTCATTTACCATCTATCAGCAGATCATGTGCATGAACTCCTTACGTGCATTCTAAATCATTGCCCTCAACATCATAGCCTCTTGGAGAATTGTTTTTCAAAGTTAAGTAGACAAGACATACGTACTCTCCATATAACAACAGATAACTTATCTTAGACATAAGACAATTTTACCATTCTTAAAATCTCATTTTGCGCATGTGTAATTCACATTATTTCTCTTTTAGACTTGATTGAATGTAAGACTTCTTGACAGCCTATATTTTCATTATATTCCTTGCTTTTTTCTCTTATTTTGCCCTATATTTCAATTTAATATAAATGACCACCAAATATTTCAACATTGGGTATACATGTGATAAGCATGTGAGTTTAAGTTTAAGTTTATGTGATAAGCATGTGATGACTACATATTTAAGATTAACATTGAAATACGCATGCTACAATATGAGATCATAAGACAATTGACCCCACTCCTGACCATCATTCAAATTCCCATTGAAGTTACTACATGTACCTTGAAACAATTTATTCTAGGCTAATCTGACTGGTTGATTCTTTCATGTGATCAACATAAAGATAGCTGGGCCCTAACCTCCTTTGATATAGATAATCAAAGAACAAAACAAGTTCATAATCAACAATGTCATACAATTACCTCATTTACTGATTTTAACAGTATCATGCATTTATTATTTTTAATCAGGGGTTTCACTAGAATTTCTCACAACAGGCAAAATTAATGTAAATCATAAATTTAACAAAAGTTGAAAAGTCCCTGAATCTGTTGAAAGACCATGATACAACAGACGATTTTGTGAAAACAACTGGTAAAAACCGCCTGTTGCCTGCTGCTAATGAAACCCTAGTTAATATTTTAATACTTTTGAAATCATGACAGCTGAAGCCAGTCTACTAGCTCAATTCTGCTAGCTATTTTTATCAAAATTCATAAAGATGCAGATAGAACTTGATTCATACATGTACATACCGAATTAAATATAATTTAAATTAAATAAACCCAATCCAAGAAATATCTACAACATGTTTAAAATGCCCTCTCACTAAATGTCAAGTGTCTTTACCAACCAGCGCTGGACTGAATGCTTTCAATTAAAAGAGAAATGACCCATCATATTATGAGAACTCATATACAAGGCATTAACATGCAAAATGTAACCACATGGCATTTGTTACAGATGCCCAACTCTGAACACCAACCACTGACCACCTGACACCAAACACTGAACCTGCCCACAAAAAATGTTGGAGACTAAGAACAACATGTCATCACTTAGGGTGGTGACAAAAAAATAGAATCCATGTTCACTTACTCTAAATTACTGAAGTATCCGTGTATGTTTCTCACAGCAGACCCATGTCTGAAAAACAGAGAAAATCCATTCATTCTGGCTTTATAACTGGTTGGTTTAGATGAGGCCATGTTATTCCACTATTAAATGGCCACACCAACTACAGTATAATCTTCCGAATGTATTTAGTTATTTCAATCAAAAAAGGATGGAATTTTAATGTACAGTAAAACCTGTCTAGGTGAACACCTCCCTCTAATGAACACCTGTCTCTAGTGGACGCCGTCACGCAATCTGCGTATTTGTCACGCATTTGCTGGAAAATTTGAACTCATGCCTGTTTTTTGCATGACAGAATATGTCACGCAAATACGCAATAAGTATTCCTGTAGGAAAACTTTCGAAAAATGATCGCCGATATAGCACAAAACCAAACGCCATACAGATACCGTATATGTCACACATTTTCCTTGAAATATTTCATACCAAGTCACTCATGTTAGGTGTTCCCAAGTCGACAGGCCTCCCCTCCACACATACTCGACTGACTTCTAGTTCTGTTTAAATTACCCTGTCTGTATTGAACACCTACCAACACTGACAGTTTTTTCTCAGTAAAAAATGTTCAATATACACAGAATTTAATTACTCTAGTAAATGTGCATTGCAACGAAATGGTTCCCTGCTCAGTGCTCTTGCGTATAGTGAATGTCAAATCTTCTCTCGACAAGCATTTTTTGTATAATAAACTAATTGGGCTTAATAGTTATATTTGTGTTTTTGCTTAACAATGATCTAGTATAAAAACTATTAAATTACAAACTATTTAGATTGATTTACTGATTTTCGATTTAAGGAATAAAGGCCTTCGTTTAATTGTATCAAGTGATGGTCAAATATTTGTTCAAAATCATTTTTTAAGTTGCATCTTGAACTTTGCCCAATTGCCCATCCTCCCGCAGTTAAATCCTCAAATACACAATAAAAAATTGAAAGTGGTTTAAGTATGAGATGCTAGTTTATCTTTAAGTAATTTATGACTTACAAATAACACATTTAAATTCTGCCAGATTGAAAACTAATATTTCTGATAGAATATTTCATACTGATCAAGATTTGAAAAAAAATGTAAAAACAAATGTCACAAAATTGAAAACTTACAAATTAGTGACCAGTTGTTGCTCCAGCTAATTCCCTTTCAATGATTTTTTCCTTTCAGTTAATGTAACTGAATGATAATGCACATATAGGTTAGGTTAAATAAAAAAATGTTTCACCATGCATCCGTCTTCTGATTCTAAACTACAAAAATGACTATGTTTGACAATTCATGCTAAGTCAACAAAAATAATTATCTACAATCTTATTCTACATTGATTAAATGAAAACAAAAGACAAAAACAAATGTACTCCTTACACTTCTTCCAACCTATTGAAGGAATGATGATAAACATCAGATTAATTTTCTCCAGCCTGAATTATACATGTGTCTTGTCACGTTAAATTCCATGTGAAGGATTAACACCTGACCTACTCTAATCTGATAAGAACAAAGAAAGCAAAACAAGATTCTCTCATATTGGCCTATCTGTTCAGTGTTCACTTTAGTTACATAATCATTAAAAGTCCATTTTGCTAAGCAAATAGGTTCTCACCTAGATTTTTTTTCAGTCTGAGCAACTCTTTTTTCCAATCCTGTCCAAATTACTTGAAGTCAAAATATGCTAATTTGTCATGAATATTTCACTTCCAAGCAAATGTAAATGGATTTTTAGGAAGGTGTAAGCCTATTTTTAAAATCTCAAGTGGGTACATGTGCTCCATTGCTACAGAGATCACAGGCACATGTTTAAACTAGGGCCCTAGAGAAACCCCACGTGTTCAAAGTTGTTTATTTCAGATTTTACATGGACAAAGGTGAAACAAAGACAACAAGTTTGGGCCAAGCAGTTATTTGCATGAAATGCAGGACATTAGTAAGACAAATTGAAAACTTTAATTACACATATTCCAAATAAAAAATGTAAATTGGGTTAGAAGACACAGAAAAATGATTTTCAGAAGAAGGAGCATAAAAAAGGATTTGGAAAATCATATTGTAGCATTAATATACTGATGAGTTTCAGAAGGGCAGTTTAACACAACCAGTGTTAAAATCTGATTCAATTATCAATTTGGGTAAGAGATTCTAGGAAGATAAAAAAAGGATTCACTCACAACAACAGAGGTCTTGAACACCTTTTCAGTGGACATGTACAAATATGTGTAACACATACAGTAATGCTAATTAATGATTAGCTAAGACAGCAACACGGTGTACATGTATAGGAAATGTAGGGTACATTGTATTAGTACAGTAATAATGTAATATTTTTGGCAAATAATATAAGGAATAAAGACCTTTATAAGAAGACCTTGGTGTTAAACAATAAGTGATTCAGTCTCAAATGGATTTGAATTTGTCATGAGTCATGAGATTTTTCGGGGGGATACCCAAGATTTATAAAAATTAGATTGAATGAGTCTGATTTGATTTATGTCAAAATCTATCTACAGTGTATCTCTGTTGGTACAAAATTGAGATTTTTTACAATCTCGGGACAAATTTCAAGATCAATCCTAAAATACTCAGGAATTTATTGAGGTATGCTATTTTTTGTCAATTACATGTATACCTGCCAAAAACTCATAAAGTAAGTTTACAGACAAAGTATATGAGAGGTCACAGGGCTATACAGTAGTTCTGACGCAATGAACAATACCATTGTTACACTTACTTCAAAACAATTGCGCCAACACCAGGTGTCAAACACCCAGAACCATCCTCGCTCCCCAAGTCAATGCTCCGCCATACATTCTCCTCATGCTGCCACAAACACTCAAGAACACAGTTCAGTCTTATCAAAGTTAATGACATTGTGTAGAGAAACTGTCAAAGTGGGCCTTAGTCATGTTCAGTTTACTTTAGGGACGGTCTGAGTGGTCAACTTTTTCTTGCAAACCTGTATCCAGGATACACACAAGCACATAATATTTATCTCTGGCTTAGATATTATATAATCGTGTTGAAATGGTTGATAATTGACAAAATTCAACACACTTGTTTTATCCAAATTATTTAATTTCTTAATTTTTACTTTTGGAGTGTTTAGATGCAATTTATGACCATGTCAGTCACATATCTACCCTTTCATCGAAGACGACATGGTTGTTCTTACTCTTATCATTCTTCAATCCAAATAAATATGTCCTTTTATCGCTATTTGTGGTGATAAACTTAATTTTGTTTATTTTTTGACAAAAATTGTCCGCCATTTTGACCAGTCATATGACCAAGATGTTACTAGAAGTCAAACTTTATAGCTGTACGAAAATGTAAATTATATAACTTGTTATACGATTTGAACGACATCTTTAAATTCAGTTATAAAATCAATTGTAAATTATGCGGTTATATCAGGTTTTCTCACGCAGACGCAGTATAATCTTGCTTTGTTCAGTAGATGGGGGTCTAATCCTCCTGGTGCAGTCCAAGTTATCGGAATGCAGCCAGGCCCCCGGGGCATACCCTCTCACTGTAACCTGTGGGTTCTTTTTAAACGATTGCCTCAGAAGCCTAGAAACATGTATACGTGTATGTAGGCTGAAATGTAACTAATATAAAATCCCAGTCCGGCAATGTGTGGGGCCCCACGCCCGATCATTACATCATTACATGTATAGGGGTGGGGAAAACTTGACTTTTCATAATTATACTGTACTTTGTCCCAAGTTTATGATCCAGGCATAGCCTATGTTTATCCAAGTTGTTTTTAATAAGGGGTGTCACAAGGAGGTCGTCTAAATAAGTATAATTCACACATTGAAAGAGGTACATTTGTTTTTGTTTCTGTAAAAATGTTTTTGCATAATACTACATAAGATTCCATTGTAATTTAGATAGTTACATGTATTTGGTCCACTTCAATCATTCAAATCATTCCCGGACCCGATGCCCTAAAATCGTACAATTACATGGAGAACCAGCCACGAGTGGAGCAAGGCAAAAATTCAGACGTTTATCAACTAAAAACTAGATATGAAGTATCTAAAGGTAGACATTTGCCTCATTTAGCCTAAGTTGTCTCGCCTGTTTACATTTGCCTCGCCAATTTTTTTATCCTAGCTACGCCACTGACAGTATTTCACTATAATCACGACTTTGACAAAAATAATGACCACACGGAGCTGAAACGCATTCACCACAAGTACACAATATCATCAGTCTCGTTGTACTATTGGACCCAACGACAAAATTGTTTTACAAATACAGAATATCATATCATTTTGATTGATATCATTTATTGAGGAGTTGATATCAAATATCAGCATAAAAAATCTTACACGCATAACATCAAAAATATCGCTGGCTGTTATTGGCCAGATAACATAATAATCGTAGGATAAATATTAATTAACAATTGACAAGTTTCTTGCCTACTACGTGGACACTTAAGAGTATTTTCACCTTGTAAATTGCTAGTCGAGTGTTCTTTTTTATTGAATTAACGTCATTTTGAAATTAGAACCCATACTTTTACACATCCTTTTGTATTTATTAATGATCTGATAAAACATCTTCCCTCGGGTACCGTATTCATTATTCACTTCAGTTCTTTGACAAGGATGATCCAATAATAATTACAACACGATGAAATACCAGGAACTGAGAATATTCGAAATATATCGTGACAAGAATCGATATTGAATTGATGCAAATCGATCGATCTCGTTGCGTAGGTGCTCATCATTCAAGTATGAGTTGATAGGAGATTGAGGGACTGGAGACGAAAATAAGCCAAGATATAGTATATAATAGTACAAAAAGGTCGAAATAAAAATCGATATTGAATCAATGCGAAATCAGTTGATTTTTGCATAATTCATTATATCTGGACACGTTTGATACCTTCATCTGGGATTATACAAAAATAATCCAATGTTGTCGCTACAGTAGCCTACCTGTATAGTTAATGGTGATCAGATCAACGTCCTATTTACCTGACATCAACGTATTTACTTGACATATTCAATAGATAATCTATTAATACATTTTTCATTAAGTTAGAGGATATTGAATTCCAAGTGTGGATTTTGCTCTGTGGGGTAGTCACGAAGGCACCGTCACGAAGATGAAGAAACCAAAACTTTGGGAAGAGGTGCGTTTATCCGTGCGACGCAAATAGTATGTTGACATTTACCTTTCGTGGATTTTAACGTAATCTGATTATCGTACAAAGAAACTAAAATGGAATTAGAATATTCCAAAAGAAAATATCTAAATTCAATCCCGAGTACAAACAGGGCTCATGTACCGTGTATTGTAGTATATTGTTGAACGTTCGTATCCTCGAGACAAGGAGTCAAGCCCAACACTCAAGAGTTCAAGTTAATAACAATGTTTTGTATTCAACTCTACGACAAATCTTAACACTAGATAATGATAATGTGTAAAGAGAGCCGAAGATGACATTGATATGGCGCTGAAAGTCAACAAGTTTATTTAAGAACAGATTGTTTGTTTGGAGGTTGTCTAACAGCACTCGAACAATAAACGTAGCAAATCTATTAATCGAATGAACGAAATTGATTGAAAGTTGAAATTGGAAACGTCATGTTATTTTAACCTCTGAACGCTCGCTGTGATTATTCAATGGTAAGTGTTTTTTTAATTTGTAACATTCACGTAAAGTAAACGTTAAAAGTAAATTGATTCCTACATTAATAGAAGAAGCATGGAGTGTCAATCTGACAATCTTCCGATTGTTGAATTGTAAATTGTAATGCAATTTATACAGACGGAGAACATTACCAAAATACTGCTTTGTATATTCTTTTTCATCAATGGATTGATTTTTGACTGCATGGTAGTTTGTAAGTCAGTTCATACATGTATCTGCAATCACGTATATTCAGTAATATTTATTATTATATATCCCAGAGAGTGTCCTTGTTTAGTAAATGCATTTGGATACACTTTCCGGAGAGAAATTGACACTCTGATTGATAAGTGGACCTATGATAAAATATTCAGTGCGAAAGCGACCATTGGTGTCGGACATAGTTTTCACCATGCAGTTTGCAGAAAAGAGGTTTTCATTGTTAACTCAATTAACGGGTTGATATGTTTTTAGGGGGTTGTTCATGAAATGTTTCTCATTATTCCCTTTAAAAATAATTAATTTTTGCCACTATAATTGATTGTAATTGTTGTTGAATAATTGGGATAACCAGTATTTGCAATTTGGTAAATCAGTCACATGGTCACTTTACAATATACTATAGGTGTAGTATGATCGATGCCACTGGTACTTCAAAAGTCAAACCCCAAATACATGTTGCTAAGCTATCTAACATGAGAGGCTAAACATGTAAATTCTCTACTTTTAGCGTACCTGTTTTTATACAGGTAACCTGATCATTTTCAAACACTCCCAACTCATTGAAGAGACACTTGGAATAAAGTACAAAAATAGGAATTCATTTATTAATATACAAGGTGGAACATTTCTTGTTGGTTTCTTTAATGTTTAAAAACCTCTCTAGGGTGGACATTTAAAGGGGAGAAATAAGTCTGGTATTTTGGATGCAGAACGCTTCTTTTAATTGAGAAAAATATTTTGCGTTGGATAAAAAACCACAAGATCCCAAGTATATCTTATGGTCCGGCAGATGCACTCAAAATCAATCAATAACGACAACATTACAGTGATAATGAGACGCAAAAGAGCGAACGACCTGAAGATAATATGAAATAAAACAAATGTGAATTAGATCTGAGATAGGAACATGGGAAACTATATGTAAGCCTTAAGACATATTTACTTTGCTTTCAATACAGGAAATCTCTGGTAAATTACGTATGATATTATTGAACTATTGTCGAATTAAAAACCAATATCATATTACATGGATTGATAAAGTGCTTAGGCCTTAATCTCCGACCATGGTTTGTTTTATGTTTGGACAACTTACTGTAAATTGAAAGTAAATCATACACTGGCGGGTCTGGGTTTCTATTTTCATTTTAGAGTGGTCCAAAATGTGCAAGTCTGGTGCATGGTAAATCACTCAATAAATAAAAATCGATGTGCATTAGCGCGACACTGTGAAGTCTCCATTAAAAGCGAGGACCTGAAGATCCACCATTTTTATCTGCCCATCACTACCTATTAATCCTAAGGGGAAACACGTACCTGATACAAAATTATGACCCACTAGGCCACCGTACATTAATTTCATTTGCAATCAATATGATTGACGTTCTCATCAGATTAATATCAGCTCATTGACATTAAACCATTGTTTTAGAGTTGGTTTACCGACTCCCAATTCTTGTAATTGCCGTTAAATTAAAGCGACAAGTCATGTTATTTGAGACCTCAACGGAGCATATCATTCTAAAAAATCGAAACCTTTGTTTCACTTATACTATCAAAGCTGACATTTATTTATGGTTTTCTTTTTATTTCGTGAAATAACTACTCGAGAATGCTTTTGATAAGGAACTAATGTTTCTTGTTTATGAACCCGTAATGGGCATTATATTACTCAAAATGTGTTCTTAAGGTTTTTATACAGACGGGAAAAAATTAGGTAAATTCATGCAATGCAATCTCAGCCTAGAAACCGGACTGATGTAAACGCGTAGAGGAATATTCGTAGAAGTACATGCTACCTTGAGGGAAGGATATAGAAAATTTGGAATGAATAAAAATCTCAAAGTAGTACTACAGACTACCTTACATTGGCATCAACATCGAGACTCATATGGACGGGTGTCTCTTAATTTCGATTATTCGAAAATATGAACTGTTGAAAGGATAAGGAGTAGGAACTGGTAGTTTATAAAGTAGATGTTCGTTAGGAATTCACTTGAACTAGTACATGCTTTGCTCTACTTAAAACAATCAAATAACGCGAACCCACTCATTTGTGTTAACTGTCGAATTCGATGTTACTGTGAACGTTACTAGGACAATATAGTAATATAATATTACAAATTCAGTTGTGTTTATCATTGGAGGAATTCACTTTTTCAAATTAACTGTATTGACAAGCCTGTAACAAGCGGCGTTCATGTTAAGAGGGAAAGTCATGCCTAATCGTAAGGTAAACATAAAGCATGTAGCACTGTCGCATTGATAAGAAAGTGTTATTTCGAATTCAATTTTACTTGTTGGCTCAATAGACTTATGGTAATTACATTCTGCAAGATGTTCCGTGATATCGCAAGGTACTCTGTTTTCTCGAAATATTGCAGAGACAATTTTTGCATTTTACACAGTTGGCTTCCTTTCTCAATTCTTCTTTACAAATCATTGCCTTAATTTTCGTTGTTTTCCGGTAGAAAACGCAATTGACTCAAATGACGAACATTTTATATTTAGGTAAGCTCAAAGTTTGAACTTACTCCCGATAAATCTTGTACTACTTGTCTTCAAATTCTCGAGGGCTAATCTGAAAGGACAACATTTTGCCAAACAACAAAACATTGCCTGATAGAATATTCTTAAATCTAAGCATATTTTGATTCGCTTCGTTGTGAACATAAAAACGTTTGTAGTAACGGCGAATTCTGATGTTATAAAACGAATTGGATATCAATAGTTTGAATTAGAATTTTTGTGTTTAATGGTGAGACTAATTTATTTATCGTTGCTGCATGGATATTTATGGTTATTAGAGTGATAGTGGGTTATGAAAATCAAGGTTATGGTCTACTTGGAAACCAATACGATATACACTCAATCGAAATATACGCGACTTGAAAGAAGTGCGGGTTTTACCATCCTCTGGAAGCAAGGCCCCACAGACACCATCCACTCCGGACGAAGGGGCAGCAAGGAACAGAATGGATGCTGTCTGAAGCCCTGCGTTTGAAGAATGGGTTTTCGTTAATCAAACACAGCACAATATGACTTTGACTTGCTGTGCGAGCACGGACTTACTTGTCTTATTCATGAAATTAAATTGATGTCAATGTTGTATCTTTCAGGAGTCGACGTGACGTTAACAACAATCAGCTTTTGCTTGTGAAGTTGTGACACGTGTAAACTTACAAAAAACTGATGTGAAACACGTTTTGTGATTCAACAAGAAAATGGACTGGTACATTTGGATTCTTTGCTCCATCCTAGCTCAACCCTAGTTCCAAACAACGGAATGACAATAAACAATTTTATCCACCATTTATAACAAAGAGACAGCTCAAGACTATAGTAAGATCATATATTAAGTTGGATAACCATATCACAAACGAAAATGGACATAAGGCTAAAGAACGACCAGATGAAGCGAGTGGAGCAAACCCGGGTGCAGAACAAAAGAGTAGAGAGACAATTGGCCAACACAATAGAAAGCAGACACGGTATAGAGGCTACCCATAAGTAAGTAAACTTTAAAGACACTATAATATAAATCAAAGTATGACATATCTTTAAAATGGGAAGAATATATTTATAAAGTTCAGACTTTTATTTATAAAATTCAAACTTTTGTGATGAAAATGTGTTTGTAAACTTCAAAATCTGAAAAAAGTAAATAAAAAAGTAAGCGTTCGTTTCAACTGAAGCTTTTGTTAAAATAATCAGTCACTGACTTACAGAAAGTGGAAAAACATATTTTCTATGACATTGAGACTTCTCTATTGTTTTGATATTATAACCCAAATGTTGCTCATTGACGCTCCAATTTTCTTGAATATATTTTACAGTAAGAAGTTGATATTGTTATAGAACACCGTTTTCGACCGACGTTCGGAGATCGGTATTGTTTTCTGCAACTATTGTTACCATTTCGTCGCATTTTGTCGTGTTAATTTCCAACATTTTTTTACAGGTATGAGCTTGAATCGATGGACAGAGAGAAACGACGGATAGAAGCGGAGTTAGAGCAGATGAGGAGCTCTCGAACCAAACTGACCAGCCTTAACATAGTCAGGCCGTCCCAAGCGTCCCAGCAAAGCGCAGGGAAGCGAGACGGTAACAGTTCCAAGGCACGTAACACCATCAAAATCCACAACGAAACCGAATATAAACGAGCTCAAGATCGGATTAAGAATTTTAACGAGAGCTTTATCCCGGAAGGTGCTACTGCTATCAAGAAGGAGCTACATACTAATGGTCATATCCATACGGAAATACAAATGGAAAAACGAAAATCGAAACCACACGTGACTCCGATTACAAATGTCAATATAGATGTAGCAAAGGGTAGCGTAGCAAAACGACTCAGTAAACACTCCCCAAGGCGGGATCCTACAACAGTAGGTATTCAAAATAATGTGAAACCCCAACAGAAAGGGAATCTTGCCCCACTCGGTCTGGAACACAAAACAACTCCGCCCTTTTTGATGGCATCAGGACAAAATGTTGGCAATCACTTTAATACCAGACTTGATACAAACAAACAAGTACAAAAAATATCCCCTAATCAGAAGCTACAGAGCCTCAATGAGCATGGTTATATAAAAGACAAGAACGGCAATATTCTCAGCAGCAATAATAACGTTCTTTCTGATTCCAATGACCTAAAAGGCGTCTCAAAAGTTGTGATAAAACCTCTAGCAAAAAGTCAAGGTGATTTATCCCCGCTATCCCTAGGGGACACAAAGCATAATGCATCCCCTCGTCGTGGCAGTTTTCAGTCAAATAAGAATACAAAGTTAAACAGTAATCAAGACAGACGGGATAGCATCCCAGCGCGTCGTGACCCAGTAAAACCAGTCACTATACCATCCGTACATATACAAGCTAGCGATGATGTACCGAACCCTATATTTGATGTGGAATCTTACAACCCTGATGGTACTCTGCGGACGCTCCATACACTCCCTGATCAGGATGACGCTTTTGAAGAGGCTCGCAAAGCTAGATATCTGCGAACCAAAGAAAGGACAGAGAAAGATAGAGAACTAACTGTTACGGAAATATTCGATTGTAAATCTTCATTTTCAATGCACTCCAGCTCCAGTGTAGAGAGTAACCGCGAGACATGATGTGATTATTAAATAAATTGTATATTTTCATACAATAATACATTCTCGTACATAATAAGTCTACGTTGAATTTCAATTTATTTCTGTAAATATGGTTTTACACATGTTGCAATTTGCAATTCAATATAGTCTAGCTACAAGCCCTTGCACACGCTTTGTGTGAGGTGTTTAGTCAAGTAAAGGGGGCACAGAGGCTTGTGGCTAGACCACAATTCAAGATGTTTTTCTTATTTGACCTTTTTATAATTAACACTTATACAAAACGAAATCAATTTTGTATATGTTTATTGATAGAAGTATATTCATAAATTATAATGAATCACTAGTCATCGGGTTGTTCGAATAGTTCCATATACCAACCATGGACCCACCGATTATAGCTGCCTTCATTCTGGAATATACATGAAACTCATGAAGATATGAACATTTTATTTGCGTGTTACTTCAATACAATCCGTGCAACTCCCTTAAAGGTATTTGAATATAATTTGTCGAAATGTAAAAAGTTGTATTGAACGATTGCAAAGATTCTTACATCACAAGTTTATATTCGGCAATCTTCAATGGATAATCAGGAAGGCGCAGTAGTCGGCAAAATGATGGTTGTCGTGGCACATGCGTCATGGTACGGAGATAACAACGTCTATTACAACCAACCAGCCGTATCCCCTGCTACTTGGTTGACTAAATATACTAACTCATATCATCGACTATGTGTCAACAATCAACCTAACTTGGATATCTGAAACAACTAACAAAATTGTCAATGAAACATGTTTTACAGTAAAACAACCACCCTTCATAGACATACGTGTGTGCGCGTCCGTGTGTTCATTCTCCAATTCTCCATTTACACCAATACAGTCATCATTCATACATCATCTTCTTACATACATACTCCGACATCATACTGCATCCCACAATATACTGATATGACATTACACAACGACAGTACAATGTACAACAGGACAGGGCAGGACGATACAGGACAATGGGGGCTCAAATGAAATATGAACATCAAGTTATGACTACGCGATGTTCAGATTCTTACAAAAACTGAGTGTACTTCATATATACCTAAAGAGAAAGACAAATAAAACGCATTGCAATTGATACTTTTCAGGCCAGATATTCAAAATGCTGAAAAATTCACTTACTTGATGCTGTGTTAAGAATATCAGGTACATCTTGATCTTTCTGTCTTACCTTTAGATGCCCCAAGACGCCAATTCCATGTGTTATTAATATTATACCTGTAGAAGTGGTTACTCTCGTGGTCCTGGTTGTGGGTGGTTTTGGAGTTGTAGTTGATGGTGTCACTGTTGTTGTTGATGGTGTCTCTGTTGTTGTTGGTGGTGTCTCTGTTATTGTTGATGGTGCCACTGTTGTTGATGATCGTGCCACTGTTGTTGATGATGGTGTCACTGTTGTTGTCAGTGGTTCCATTGTTGTTGACGATGCCATTGTTGTTGGCGATGTTACCGTGGCTGTTTTTGTTCCACAGTTGAAATCATCAAAGGCTACAATTTTTCCGTTTTCACCACAGTATGTACCGTAGCACCAAAGAGTCCCATCTGAGTTTGTTGATCGCCCTTCGCTGAGTATTTCACCTGGGATGCATCCTGGTGTTGTTGTCGCTGGTGCCATTGTTGTTGGTGGTGAGGTCGTTGTTGCTGCTGATGAGGCTACTGTTGTTGTTGTTGTTGTTGCTGGTTTAAAGGATGGTGGTGTGGTCGTCTTCATTGATGTAGATGGTACTTCTGTTGGTGTAAAGACTATAGAAGAAGCACGATTGTCTACATCATCATCCATAGGCGGTGGTGGCCTTGACTCGGGTTGTGTTTCTATTGACGGTGTTGTCGTTGCTACAATTGTGGATGGTGATCCTGTTGATGAAAAGACTGTGGAAGAAGAACTATTGTCCACATCATCGTTCATAGACGGTGGTGGCCTTGGGCGTGACTTAGTCTGTGTTTCTGTTGATGGTTTTATCGTTGTAGATACAGTTGTAGATGGTGATCCTGTTGGTGAAAAGACTGTGGAAGGAGAATGATTGTCCACATCATCGTTCATAGGCGGTAGTGGCCTTCGACGTACCCCAGGCTTTGTTTCTGTTGATGATGTTGTCGCTGCTACAGTTGTGGATGGTGATCCTGTTGATGAAAAGACTGTGGAAGAAGAACGATTGTCCACATCATCGTCTATAGGCGGCGATGGCCTTTGACGTAACCCAGGCTTTGTTTCTGTTGCTACAGTTGTAGATGGTAATTCTGTTGATGAGAAGACTGTGGAAGGAGAACGATTGTTAACATCATCGTCCATAGGCGGTAGTGGCCTTCGACGTACCCCGGGCTTTGTTTCTGTTGATGGTGTTGTCGTTGCTACAGTTGTGGATGGTGATCCTGTTGATGAAAAGACTGTGGAAGAAGAACGACTGTCCACATCATCGTCCATAGGCGGTGGTGGCCTTCGACGTACCCCAGGCTTTGTTTCTGTTGATGGTGTTGTCGTTGCAACAGTTGTAGATGGTGATCCTGTTGATGAAAAGACTGTGGAAGGAGAACCATTGTCCACATCATCGTCCATAGGCGGTGGTGGCCTTCGACGTACCCCAGGCTTTGTTTCTGTTGATGGTGTTGTCGTTGCAACAGTTGTAGATGGTGATCCTGTTGATGAAAAGACTGTGGAAGGAGAACCATTGTCCACATCATCGTTCATAGACGGTGGTGGCCTTGGGGGTGACTTAGTCTGTGTTTCTGTTTCTGTTGCTGTTGTCCTTGACTCGGATTGTGTTTCTGTTAATAATGTTGTCGTTGCTACAGTTGTGGATGGTAATTCTGTTGATGAGAATACTGTGGAAGGAGAGCGATTGTCCACATCATCGTTTATTGGCAGTGTGGACCTTGGACGTGATTCAGTGTTAAATGAAGTTGTTGTTGAAATCGTTGTTGTAGTCGTTGTTGCTGTTGTTGTAGCTGAATTCGTTGTTGTAATAGTTGTTGTAACTGAAACATAAAAATGTAAGAAATCATCACATACCAAATAGTTATTTCACCACTTGTAACTGCTGAACAGCAAAAGCTTAAGCCCACTGAATGAAAATCGATGCATACTCACCTAACATTGGATTTCTTTCACATATGAATGCTTGTTCCTCCGAGCATCGTCTAGCTTCCCATTTGAACAATGAGGAAGGAACTACAGCTCCACAATCCAACTTCGCCTCGGGATTTCCAGACGAAGGAGGATCTCCTTTCAACCAGTTCGTGTAATAGCCCTAAAAGTAAAGCAATATACTCGATATTACCGATCAACGTTTGCTAAAAAAGAAACTGTTTCATTTAAAATCAAATGACATGGCCTTATTGAGGAGTTCCAAACATAAAAAGAGAAATATGAAATAACATACCGTGATGGCAAGAGGGTCAGAAGATGTCCCAAGCCAAAAGTCTCCCTCGGGTGAACTGGAAAGTGACAAAGTAAATGATTTTATTCAGGCACGAGTTAAACCCGATACATAAGTGGATAGGGTCATCTTTGTTTAACATTTATGCTAAGTTATTTATGGGTATTAATACTTGAAACCCATAAGGTAGATTCATTTTATTTTAAACATTTTTATTGTCATCTATTAACGGGTTTGCGAGTACCTTCCATACGTATACACACGTTCCCGTCATAATCATAGATTTGTATGTTTTTGACTTACCACTGGCGGATTAGGGGGGGGGGGCCCAGGGGCCCGGGCCCCCCCCCCTTGGGTGGGCCCAGAAAAAAAAAATTGGGCCCAAAAAAAATTTTTGGGCCAAACAAGGCCTTCAGGCCCCCTTTTTGGTCATTACTGGGCCTTTTAAGGCCTTATTTGTTAATTTCAGGCCAAATTTTGAAGAAAATGGGCCTCAAAATTTCAAAATTTGGGCCCACTTTTGGATTTTAGGGGCCGGACGTTTTTTTCTCTGACCTGAAATTTGGGCCCCCCCCCTTGTTGGTTCCTGGATCCGCCCCTGCTTACCCTGGTATTTTTCTGACAAACTCCAACGTTGGACCATCTCTTATATCCGCCAATACTCCTCCATCACGCATACATGACTCTTGCGCGTTCTGATTTGACAATGCAGCTTGGTTAAACCTGAAGCACCTTCCCCTGCCATCAGAAACACTATCTTTGGGACACACGGCACACCTCCTTCTCAATTTGGAACTAGGAACTTTTGGCATTTCGTCATTGCTATCATCAAATTGATCTGATGGTAGAAAATCGTCATCGTTCAAGGCACTTACGGATTTGACAGAGTTCTCACTGCTTGCGGATTTTGATTTGACAGATTTCTCGCTACTTCCGGAGTTTGATTTGACAGACTTCTCACTGCTTCCCGACTTTGATTTGACAGACTTCTCACTGCTTCCCGACTTTGATTTGACAGACTTCTCACTACTTCCCGACCTTGATTTGACAGACTCCTCACTACTTCCGGACTTTGATTTGACAGACTCCTCACTACTTCCGGACTTTGATTTGACAGACTTCTCACTACTTCCCGACTTCTCACTACTTCCAGAGTTAGATTTGACAGACTCCTCATTACTTCCTGACTTTGATTTGACAGATTTCACACTACTTGCGGATTCAGATTTGACAGACTCCTCATTACTTGCAGATTCCTCGTTACTTCCTGAATTTGTACTTGCAGATTTTACGGATTTGACATCATTTGTAGATTTTGCCGGACTCCCATTCTCAGATACGCTCCTATAACAACGCATTCAATGAAGTTAAAATTTTGTAACATGAAGTAACATGAAAAAATGCATCAAAAGATGGATCGATATTAGTATTCTAGTATATATGGGACTCACCTTCTCTTCCTTTTTGCGCTTTTAGTTTGTTCACTTCCAGATCCACTTGTGTCACTCTGTTTGCTACCAGTTCCTTTACTTTCCTTGCTCTCAGAACTCTGGCTCCCTTCCTTGCTTTCAGCACTCTGTTTGCTCTCTTTGCTCCCAGAACTATTTTTGCTTTCGCTGCTCTTGGCACTATCTTTGCTTTCCTTGCTCCCAGAACTATTTTTGCTTTCGCCGCTCTCGGCACTCTCATTGCTCCCAACACTCTCTTTGCTTTCCTTGCTCCCAGAACCATTTTTGCTTTCGCTGCTTTTGGCACTATCTTTGCTTTCCTTGCTCCCAGAACTACTTTTGCTTTCGTTACTCTTGGCACTCTCTTTGCTTTCCTTGCTCCCGGCACCCTCTTTGCTCTCTTTGCTTTCTTTGCTCTCAGAACTCTGTTTGCTACCACTTTTGCTTTTACTAGGTTTTGACATTTCATTTAGAGGTTGTATCTCGTCATCATTCCAGTCGTCATCATTCATTTCATCGTTCATGTTATCATTTAACATTGGGATTTCCATTTCGAACTCCCCATTTAAATCGTCCATATATTCTCCGAGCTGTTCATCATATTCACAAATAATTTCTCCAGGCCCTGGCCATTGACAGAGAGATGGTTTCAAAGATTCACAGCTTGATTCACCATATTGACCACCTATGCTTGTTCCATATACACAATCCAATTTCTTTCCACCATTGGGCTAAATAAATTCAAATAAGAATGAATATTTGTTGAACAAATTAAAAAAACTTATGCTTCTTTTATGCTGACTTTTTCTCATTATTCTATTTAGGGTGTTGCTTGTTTGATCCTTAAATTTCTCTGAATATTATTTCTCTATTGATTATTGCTTTTCGTTTCTCTAGTATTCATTTTAAGGAACTGGAATTATTCTATCACAATAGATACTTATAAACAATTGCAAGAGTTATTGAATTGTCAAATTAATAGTGAATATCATCTAATTAATTTACGTACCAGCTCAGGATGCCAAAGTGGACTATCTCGCTCCAGAGGCTGTCCAACAACGTCGGGATAGTACGGAGAATATTCGTCAAATGGAAAACTTGCTTGCATAGTATCATCCTTTGGGAAGTCAATTTCATCAAATTCTTTAGAATCGGAGGTTTTACTACCTCTGTCTGAAGGAAAACTCTTTGATCCACTCTTTGATCCACTTCCACTCTTTGATCCACTTCCACTCTTTGATCCACTACCACTCTTTGATCCACTACCACTCTTTGATCCACTTCCACTCTTTGATCCACTACCACTCTTTGATCCACTTCCACTCTTTGATCCACTACCACTCTTTGATCCACTTCCACTCTTTGATCCACTACCACTCTTTGATCCACTTCCACTCTTTGATCCACTACCACTCTTTGATCCACTTCCACTCTTTGATCCACTTTCACTCTTTGATCCACTTCCACTCTTTGATCCACTTCCACTCTTTGATCCACTTTCGCTTTTTGATCCATTTCCACTCTTAGATCCACTTTCATTCTTTGAATCACTTCCATATTTGGACTCTTCTTGTTTCGTTACATCTTCTCTACTTTCTGACGATAAACTAGCATCATTGTCATCCTTTGCAGATCGTTTTCCTAAAAAGACCCAATCAACTGAATTAACAATCGAATGGAACTTGTTAAAAATTAAACTATAATTAAAAGTTCATCCAAGGAATTATCCTACTTAATATTTGATCATACATACTTCTGCGCTTCACAGTGTTGTCTTCATTTGATTTGCTTATTTTGCTGCTCAATTTTGACTCGGACTTGATATCCTCACCAGAGCCAATTTTCGATTCTGAACCACTTTCGGATTTAGAGCCACCTTCGGATTTTGAACCACTTTTGGATTTAGAGCCACTTTCAGATGCTGAACCACTTTTGGATTTAGAGCCACTTTCAGATGCTGAACCACTTCCGGATAGAGAGCCACTTTTTGATTTTGACCCACTTCCGGATTTCGAGCCACTTTTTGATTCTGAACCACTTTCGGATTTAGAGCCACTTCCCGACTTTAAGCTGTTTTGTGATTTTGAACTAATATCAGATATTGAGCCACTTTTTGATTTTGACCCACTTTTGGATTTAGAACCACTTTCGGATTTTGAGCCACTTTTTGACTTTGAACTTGATTCGGGTGATTCTAGATTCGATTGATATGGTTCAGGTTCATCTGATGTTGCACCTAGAGCTTTATTGTGAGATCTTGGCCAATACCATACTCCAGTCTTATGATCAAACCGTAGGCCCATCCAGACTATTTGGCCATTTCCTCTGCAATGTTGTTAAATATGATAAGAAAATGTACTTTAAAGGATACAAATATGAATCATATAACCAAAGTTAAATCCCAAAGTTTTTCACCATGTAACTCTGATGTTTATTAATTGCATTGAATGTAAACGTCTTGTGGTTTTTCAATATGAATAGTGATACTGATTTTTGAACATGGACGAATTAAACTTTGACAAAAATCAATTTCAATGTCAACAATAGTAAATGAAATGCGCGCAAAGAAAGGCATTATTGTATTACCCAGATGTGATGTTTTTGATAGCATCATTGTCAGGTTTATTATTCATCATGGCGAGGCGACCTCCATTCTGTCTGCACACAGCTGATGCATCCTTCCATGATAGTTTCTCCTCGTAATACCTAACACATCTGTTGGTTCCTTCTACACGTCCTGAACCTTCGGGACAGCCTAGTTTAAAGTAGAAAGTATGGTACACAGACTGATATGGATAACATAACAAATATAACAAAGACAAACAAAGATAACAACTATAATCACACAGTGATAGTCTTAAGGGAAAATTTTATCATTCAAACCAAAAGAGATGTCGCCATCAACCACAATAACTACTGCCTTAGTAGTAAAAGAACGGATCACTTACTGGCGATTGTAGTACACGTTTCACCCTGATCGACTGGATTTTCTACTTCAGTCTTACACATACTCTGGTGACCGGGAGTGAATTGGCATACATAGGGTCTGCGGTCAGTACAGCGGGCACTTGTCCACTTGTTGCCTACTTTACTGAATACACACTCAAAGTCAGGAAGATCACTTGGCTAGAATTGTAATAAATATGCATATGTGTGTTTGTTGTACTTGAATAAACATAAATGATCTATTCTGAAAACAAAATTAGCCATACTAAAAAGTTAAAGAAATAGCCCTGACAAATAATATCAACCCATGTAAGGGAGAGAAAAAGAAGTATAATACTAGTACTGTATATAGTTCTTACCTCATTAGGTCCCCAGTGTTGCCATTCATCTAGGGGAAGGTCGTTTTTCCCAGGCAAACGCCAGACAAACCAATTTTCTATATCATCAGGCATATTAATGGGTCTTCCTTCACTCACTTTGCTTTTGTCACCGCTGCCACTCTTGCTTTTGTCGCTGCTGCCACTATTGCTGTTGTCCCCACTGCCACTCTTGCTTTTGTCGCCGCTGCCACTCTTGCTGTTGTCCCCGCTGCCACTCTTGCTTTTGTCACCGCTGCCACTCTTGCTTTTGTCGCCGCTGCCACTCTTGCTTTTGTCGCCACTGCCACTCTTGCTGTTGTCCCCGCTGCCACTCTTGCTTTTGTCGCCGCTGCCACTCTTGCTGTTGTCCCCGCTGCCAATCTTGTTGTTGTCGCCGCTGCCACTTTTGCTTTTGTCACCGCTGCCACTTTTGCTTCTTATATCATCCAAACTTCGTTTTTTTCTTTTTCTATCAGATTTTTGGCCACTTTCTTCATTACTCTTTTCATTTTTGTTACTCCCAGATTCTTTACTTCCGGTACTTTCTTTGCTATTTTCACTTTTGTCACTCCCTGATTCTTTACTTTCGCTACTTTCTTTGCTATTTTCAATTTTGTCACTCCCAGATTCTTTACTTCCGCTACTTTCTTTGCTATTTTCACTTTTGTCACTCCCAGATTCTTTACTTCCGCTTGTATCACTCTTTTCACTTTTACCACTACTGCCATTGCTTCTACTTCCACTGCTAGCTCTATTTTCATTATAATCTGTCTGTGTTCCCAGTGCCTGTGGTCTCTGAAGCCCGATCCAATATCCACCATTTACCCTAAACGTATTGATAAAATCAAAATGGCACAAATAATATAAATTAGTTTGCAAAGATAAAAACATGGAACCATTGTAACTCTTTTCTTTATTTTGATTGGCGCTATAAAAATTAATATAAGTTTTTTAAAACATCATCATATGAATGATATTCACCTCCATTTCTTATCCCACGTTAGCTGTGTTTTCTAGATCAATGTATTTTAATTCATCTTTGATTAATTGTTTGTAATGTTTGTCTTTAACTTATAAACTGCAAGAATGTGTCATTTTTGACTCACCCAATGTAAACAAGATATGAGTCTAAGAGCTTTTGACTATCAGGTTCATTGAGAATTGCTAACACCCCACCCTGTCCTCGGCAACTTGCATCTGCTTTGTCAAATGTCAATGCCTCGTCGTAATACTTGAAGTATATACCGTCAAAAGAATCTGATGCACCCTCTGGAACATCTGAAAATACACCAAGTGATCAATGGAAGCCCACATAAGGACTTAAAAATGGATATTATTTTTTCCAACAGATACAGAACAATGGCTCTATACATTTATATGGGTACCAATTGCGAAATAATATGCCAGTGGGGCATTATTTCACCAGGGGTACTGACAGAACGGATCACTTACCGGCGATTGTAGTACACATTTCACTCCGATCGACTGGATTCTCTACTTCAGCCTTACACATACTCTGGTGACCGGGAGTGAATTGACATACATAGGGTCTGCGGTCAGTACAGCGGGCACTTGTCCACTTGTTGCCTACTTTACTGAATACACACTCAAAGTCAGGAAGATCACTTGGCTAGAATTGTAATAAATATGCATATGTGTGTTTGTTGTACTTGAATAAACGTAAATGATCTATTCTGACAACAAAATTAGCCATACTAAAAAGTTAAAGAAATAGCCCTGACAAATAATATCAACCCATGTAAGGGAGAGAAAAAGAAGTCCAAAGCACATGAAAGCAGACTGCAGCAGGAGTAAATAAAATATCATAATACTAGTACTGTATATAGTTCTTACCTCATTAGGTCCCCAGTGTTGCCATTCATCTAGGGGAAGGTCGTTTTTCCCAGGCAAACGCCAGACAAACCAATTTTCTATATCATCAGGCATATTAATCGGTCTTCCTTCACTCACTTTGCTTTTGTCACCGCTGCCACTCTTGCTGTTGTCACCGCTGCCACTCTTGCTTTTGTCGCTGCTGCCACTCTTGCTGTTGTCACCGCTGCCACTCTTGCTTTTGTCGCTGCTGCCACTTTTGCTGTTGTCCCCGTTGCCACTCTTGCTTTTATCGCCGCTACCACTTTTGCTTCTGCTATCATCCAAACTTCTTTTTTTCCTTTTTCTATCAGCATTTTGGCCACTCTCTTCTTTGTTCTTTTCACTTTTGTTACTGCCAGATTCTTTACTTCCGCTACTTTCTTTGCTATTTTCACTTTTGTCACTCCCCGATTCTTTACTTCCGCTACTTTCTTTGCTATTTTCACTTTTGTCACTCCCTGATTCTTTACTTCCGCTACTTTCTTTGCTATTTTCACTTTTGTCACTCCCTGATTCTTTACTTCCGCTTGTATCACTCTTTTCACTTTTACCACTACTACCATTGCTTCTACTTCCACTGCTACCTCTATTATCATTATAATATATCTGCGTACCCACTTCCTGTGGTCTCTGAAGCCCGATCCAATAGCCACCATTTATCCTAAACGTATCGGAAAAATCAAAATGACACAAATAATATACAAGTAAATCAGTTCGCATAGAAAAAACATTAGACCTTTGTAACTCTTTTCTTTATTTTGATTGGCTCTTTAAATATGGGTTTTCTAAAACATCATCATATAAATGAAGAAAAAGTTCAGCTCCATTTCTTGTCCTATGTTAGCTATGTTTTCTAGATCGATGTATTTTAATTCATCAATGTTTGTCTTTAACTTGTAAACTACAAAGAGTTCTCACTCACCCAATGTCACCAAGATATGATTCTAAGAACTCTTGACTATCAGGTTCATTGAGAATTGCTAACACCCCACCCTGTCCTCGGCAACTTGCATCTGCTTTGTCAAATGTTACTGCTTCGTCGAAATACTTGAAGTATATTCCGCCAAAGGAATCTGATACACCCTCTGGAACATCTGAAAATGCACCAAGTGATCAATCGAAGCTCAGATAAGGATCTTATTTTTTACAACTGAAACAGAATTATGGTCGAGTAAATATATAAGCAATTTTGTCAAAGAGGAATGACCAAAGAGAATCCGCTTTTCAACCTAGAGGCTAAACGTTTTGAGGAGTTGATGCATACTTCCCAACAAGCCAAAGTTCTAGACCGCAATTGCAGATGAGACTTACCATCTGCCCAACCAAGTGCGTCACACTCCTCTTCTATCTCCTCCTGTTCGCAGTCATCTATTGGATCAAACTGGCACATGTAGGCGTGATCCTCGCCGCACTCGCCATCTGTCCAGACATGGTCTTGAAGTGCACTTACCATTACACAGTCGGCTGTGTTCATTGGTTCACTGTTTGGCTAGAATACAATTAATACTTTTATAACAAACTCGATGTTACAAACATGGAGACATTGTGTGTGTTCAAAATTGGTACATGCAATGATTAAGAAAATATACTGAACAGTATATATTTTATCAAATATTTCCAAAGTTATCATCTAAGTACTCCATTCGTCCATACAACGTGAGTTGCAAGTCCGGTTGTAAGGCATTTCCTGATCCCTAAGCATGGTGAGTTGCATCTGAAAATATCCATATAAGATAAACGAACACAATGATAATATAAGTCGACAAACCTTTCCGATTCGCCAGTTGGTAAAGTCACCCATTGGATAGTCTCTTCCGTCTTTGAAACGCCATCTATATTCACCCTCTTGGAATTCATCGTTCAGACCAATCCAATAATAATCAAAGCTAATGGTAAAGAATTAATGCACATGTATTATTTAATGTAGAAATTGAAATGTATGCACGTTAGCTATAAATCTAAATCTTAGTTACTAGCTACTTTATACATTGCAAAATTCGAATAAAAATCAAAGCAGCGCCACGCCTTTTTTAACCGACGAGAAGTTTCTCATATGGACCATATGTACTAGATATAGTATAAATCTTGTCTGAAGTTTCTAGATATATGTCTCAATTTTACAAACCTTTCGAAGCAATCATAATCTGGGTCATTGGTCATCATGTCATTAAGCATGTCAACATCTTCATCGCCCTCACGATTACTGCCACTGCCACTTTGACCTCTGCTGCCACTTTTACTACCACTGCCACTTTTGCTACCACTGCCACTTTTACTACCACTGCCACTTTTACTACCACTGCCACTTTTGCTACCACTGCCACTTTTACTACCACTGCCACTTTTAGCACTGCCAATTTTACCACCGCCGTCTTCACTTCCACTGCCAGATTTTTCACTGCCACTGTTACTCTTGCTACTCGTTTTTTCTTTTCTGCTTTCATTTAAATCTTGGGAACTCTCTCCTACACTTCTCTTCCTTCTCCTTTCTTTTTTCGTATCTTCTTTTTCATTACTTTTACCGCTGTTGGCAGAATTTTCTATTTCATCTTCACCACTTTCCCCACTTTTGTCTTTATTTGAGGAAACTTTGACACTCGTTTCACCACTTTTGCTTTGCTCGCTACTTTTGCTCTTTTCACCACTTTTGTCTTTATTTGAGGCACTTTCGACACTCTCTTCACTACTTTGGCTCTTTTTTTCACTCTTTTCGCCACTTTTGTTTTGCTCGCTACTTTTGCTGTTTTCACCACTTTTGCTCTTTTCGCCACTAGACGCACTTTTCTCACTGCTCTTTTCTTTTAACTCTTCAATTTCTTCTTCAGGTTCAGGCTCGTAATTTTCTTTTGGGAGTATTGCGTTTTTGGTACACGTCTTTGGTACAGGCATTAGTCGGACAAACTCAAGCACGTTTGAATCATTTACCATTGCAAGCTTCCCGCCAAGTCTAAACATAAACAATAACATTTTTGTGATGTCACTTTCAGGTACAGTACTTGAAATTCTTACAAACAAGAAGGGCGAGTAGGTGACCAAGCTTAGAACGACGTACATTAGTGTAAGAAGATAATCCAAACTATCAGAAAGGGTAACATTTACAGTATAATAATTGTATTCAAAATGTGAGAGTCATACCTCTTCCATGCAAATCATTATGATCGCTATTTTCAGGATCCATCAATGTGCATTGAGAATGTAAAGGAAATCCGACTAATGTGCTCCCATAACATCACTTACCTATTGCAGTTCAAACCAGCCCTGTGCCAATTTGTCTTCTCGGATATGTACTGGAGACATCGTCCACTGCCATCGTTCAAAGGAACTGAACCTCTTGGGCACACTAGAACAAACATACATATGCATGATCTCTTAGTTAGACATTGATTTGAGATATAGCAAGATATGTAGCTTTACGTTCGAGCATACCATAGTATATTATTTGATACTTAACTGAACAAATGCTTTCTTGCATTTTTATTGCAAATTACACCACGACTCACCTTTGACTTTCTTGTTCTTATCACATTTTTGCTCAGCAGTTGGGTCGCTTTGCTCTGATCCTCTATCTTCATTTGATGGGGCATAATCTGGTCCATCAATTAATTCAGTTATTACATCATCAATAAGACCTGAGTTACTTCCGCTTCCATTTCTACTTCCCTGGCTACTTTTACTTCCACTTTCTGATTTAGATCTGACTCCACTGCTTTTGTTACTTTCGCCACTTCCCGATTTACTGCTGTTCTCACTACCGCTCTTAGATTTACTATCCTTACTTCCGCTTTTCTCTCCACTGTCTTTGCTTCCACTGCCTTTACTCTCACTTTTAGACTCATTGTCCCCACTGCCGCTTTTCTCTCCACTAGCCTTACTTTCGTTGCTTTTAGCAGAATCTTTTGAAGACCTGATTCCGTCACTTTGACTTTTACCGACTGATCTTCTGTATCGTTGGAGACGTCGGTAGCTCGATGACGATGCAACCTCGCTTCCTTCTTTTACCGAATTACTTCCACTTATGGAACTTTTGCTTTCACCACTTCCCCCACTATTACCGCTTCCACTTCCACTTTTAGAATCTTTGCTTCCACCACTTCCATTACTTTCGTTGCTTCCACTTCCACTTTTAGAACCTTTGCTTCCACCACTTCCATTACTTTCGTTGCTTCCACTTCCACTTTTAGAACCTTTGCTTCCACCACTTCCATTACTTTCGTTGCTTTCACCGCTAGATTCGGAACTTTTGCTTCCACCACTTCCATTACTTGTGTTGCTTTCACCGCTAGATTTGGAACTTTTGCTCTCACTGCTTCCTCCATTGCTCTTGTTACTTGCATCTCCAGATTTGGGACTTTTGCTCTCACCACCTTCATCCCTTTCAGGACTTTCCCCATTTGGACGATCACTTTCAGCTTCTCCACCAATATCTTCAACAGTTCTAGGAAGGTCAGATGCATATGTCTCATCATGCAAAGCGGCCTCATCTGACGGTTCTCTATTATCAAGATTGTCGTTAGACGAGGAGTAACCATGAGGTCCATTCTCAGAGCAAGTAGATCGATACTCTGTTCCCCATTCACAAATGTAAGGTGCTGTTGTGTCACATTCTTCACTGATGAAGAACCCAGTTTCTGGGTCTATTGCCCCACAATCCCTTGTATTTAACTAAAACACAATCAAACAAAACATGAACAAGTCCATTTACGGCGTTAGGCTATGTTCGTATCAATGTTCAGGCCCGTAGCCAGCTGGAGGGGGGGGGCTGGGTGAGCGGAAGCTCCCCCCGGCCAGTAAAGTTTTCAGAATTATGCAGTTTTTCACTATTCTGAGCACTTTTCGCATAAATTTATAGCCAAAAGTGTAAAAAAGCCCCCCCCCCCTTGGCAATAGATCCCTCCCCCTCGGTAAAACCTGGCTACGGACAAGATGTATCCATTCTGTTACTTGTCTCAATTTTCACCAGCAAACTCGGAACTGAGAAGAAATGAGATGACATGGTTTATAATTAGAGCTATGCGACAACTACTAGTATATCATTCTGTTTTTTAAAAAGTTAAACATTCCTTTATATCATCTATGAATTAAAATTTTGCTTACAGGCGCAGTGAGGTATGGCGTATCATCTGACCAGCTCCAGCGCTCATACGGATCCTTCTCGAGCCCCAGCCACACGGGACCAATCTCTGGATTATTCAGCCTATATGAAAAATATAGGGGAAAGCAATTGAAGCTTATTTGAATAAATTTTGAAGCAAATTAACACGTTTTGTAAAGCTAATAGAATCATGCATGACGACCATTGTGTGAAATAAAATATTACTGTGACATGTATAGAATACAAAAAATACAAAAACGATAAATATATGTATTTATTTAGAAACACCAATTTGCATTTCGAACATATATGAATGAAATAAAAGAAAAAAGTTAATGAGCCCATGCATTTTAATAAATCAAATACGGTTATTTAAATGGATAGTTTCTAAATACCAGAAAAATCAATGAAATCTAGTGCTGCCATCTTTTATTCAGCTTTTAATCTGGGCTAGAGTTCCATTCACTTACATGTTAAAATCTTTGAAAAGTGGCTTAATTTCATGATTTATCAAAGTGTGTTAGTTGAATCTGTATGAAACTTGAATGATATACCACATGATGACCCTGTTTATGTACATGTTGTGATTAAACATGCAAATGTTGGTTGACATACAAGTAATCCAAGGTTTTAAAGAATTTTAGCATTGCATCTACAGTATGGATATTGTCTTAGAAAATTATTCAAATTACATAACTGTGTAAATCAATAGGAGAATACATTTCACTGAATTCAAATATGCCATTTAAAAGAAGGTAATGTAAGTCATTAGAGGTCTAATATGCAAATCTCTTAAAATCTCACGAAAAATGAGATTTAGCGAGATTTCAAAAGCGATATGGAAACTTTACTATTAGTAAAGACTCAGTCACATTTGCTCTACGGCGGGTGCACGGCGGTCGTAGCTTCACAAAATCGATATCGAAAGTCTACATCGTACTGCTTATCCCAATATTTTATGCTGCATATTCCACTTGATTTTGGAAAGCTACGGCCGCTGTACGGTTGCCGTAGATCGAAGGCGGCGATCACTAAAATGACAGTTATTACTGTTGTATCATTTACAAGAATAACTGCTTAGAATAGCTTTGAATTTCGATCAAAAATGGCACTCAACTGCATTACTTACATTTCATTTGTGATAGATTCAGCTTCATCCATGCTTGTAATGGAGAAAAGAGTTCCGCCATCTTGGTCACAGACTTTTGATGCGTCTGTGAAATTTTTCGGCGTCCTAGAATACATCAAACAACTTCCACCAATTGCGTCATAGCCGTCTGGGCAAATGATATCCCCGCCCGGAAGGGGAAAGGGAGGCGTCGTGTCAGCATTGGTCGATGACCAAATTGTCAGTGCCACTAGCAGGACGAATTCGGTCCTGGAGGCCATTGCGATTCTATAGCTAAGGCGTCCTAAATTGAAATGTTTGCATCACATGCAACTTTTGTGTGTGAAGCTATACGATGACGAAATTTGGGAAAAAGTTTAGAGAAGTACAAATTCTAAAATGTTGCAATATCTTAAAAAGTATTATCTCCACCTTATTTTTGAATAAAGTATATAATATTGATTTGTAGTGTTAGAATTATGCAATAAAGAAAAATAATAAAAATATTAGAAAAAATTACAAAAGTATGAGGTAATTAAATAAGGTTCTTAAGATCTGATATTTGCGCTTACCTCTTGTAACGTCTTTTGAATACTGCGTCTTTAATCACGCATGTAGACTAATACAAAGATTAAATGTAAAAATAACATCTTTAATTAAATCAAAATAGCATGTGCAAGAATATGTTTCAATAAGTGATAGATGAAAAACAAACTTGCAATGTTATCTAAAGAAAATATTTTAATTAAAAAATTGATCCCTTGGGTAGCAGATGTAGGGAGGATAATAGTTGTTTTTGTATGAATGTGTACATACGTTTAAGATTATGGTTTTAATTTCTAAAGACATTTGCCTCGAAAGGTCGCACGAAGCTGCTTACAAACAAAAAGAAATAATTATTAATTGATAATAGCCCAATGACTTTCGATTTACTTGAAAGTTGAAGTGCTCAAGATTATCCGTTAGTCTTTAGAAACCTGGATTCGATTTAGTTTGTGACTCTAGGTCTGTATTATTTCATCTGTAGTGTAAACAGAAGGGATTGACTTCTTGACTATATAGATCGTTTTCTAATTCAACGGTTAGTGTATAGTTGAGTAAATTGCATTTATACTTTAAGTTATATTGCATTGTATTTGATAAGAATAGATCTCAAACACTTTCAACGATACGATAATGGAGCACTTTTTTCATCGTGTCAAACATCAAATGATAGAAGGCGTATCGAATTATTTTGGTTCATGCAAAGTTTCAAGATGGAAAAAAACAATTTTGTATTAAGATTATAATGTTTGTCAAATCTATCCAAGAATAAAACAAGCAACAATCTATAAGTTCATTCTATTGCTTATTGCCAAAAGTTAATTTGGTCAAGTACAACTTGCGCAAAGTGCGTTTTTGGTGTTATTAAAGTAAATAATCAATCTAATAAAACATGGAAATCATATTACGTAAAGGAGCTTGAGAAGCTTAATTGTGTTGTTGTTTACATGAAGCTGCAAAGGAGAAAAAAGATTAAAGCCGGATGCAGAATCAGATTTATACGGGGTGACAAAATTGCAAGCTAATGTACAATACTGTGCAATAAATCTACAATTGACCGTACAGTGTATTTTTTACCATCTCAAATATAATATTTCCAAAAATATGTTTTCAACTGGTAAAATCATTTCAGATTCAAATTGCACAATTTGCCACAAATGTGTAACTTCTCTTAGATGATAAAAGTGGTGATCACACTTACAAATAAAAAACCATTTTGTGCACAAATCGTTAGTTTTCTTCAAATAGAGTGGACAAGATGGGGGATTTTAGAAATGGACACGAGAAGGAATGATGAGCCCAAAATATTCAGAAAAATATAATATATATTTTTTGTTGTTGCTAGCTAGATCTGATACCCCCTTTAAATAAAGATTGCAGCGTCAGTTTATTTTATCTTGACCAGGGGCACCATCTTTATGAAGATCATGAGAGTTGGGAAAGATTTGATATCAGAACAGCCTTTGTTACAAAGGAGTGGTATTTATTATTAGTCATCGAGACATTCTGGAAATTTTACACATCGTCACTTTAATGGTCATCTTTTGGATGGTAACATTATAATTTTAAATATATAGTACTATATATATATACACAACTTGTATATACTTTTCTCAATATTGTTTTAGAAAACACATCAGACACTTCTTTCGTTCTTGGTATCATATGTTCGGAATGAGATGAAACATCTTATTGAACCTCAGTGGAACAAAACGACGTGTTTAGGTCTCTCAATATTGTAATTGTACAAAGGAAAGTTGGGTTGATTTTAAAAAAGTATCTTGTTAATGAAATAAAAGGTTTATCTTAATTTTTTTTATCTATTTTGGGGGGTTTTGCATACTTTTTGTTAAATCAACCAAAATTTCCTTTGTATAACTATAATATTGAGAGGTCTAAGAAAATTCTACATATATGCTATTTTGTTCCAACAAGGTTCGGAAAGACATTTTATTCCATTCTCAAGAATTGGTAGAAAGGCACAAAAAACAATTGCACTAAAAACAAAAAAATGTTAACAAAAACAGTTATATAAAATATATATAAATTAAGAGAAAAACATTGTTGAATTCAGTTCACCATATCGATACATATCCTTTACATTTTTATGAATCTATATTCCATGTCATAGAAAGGGAAACTGTTTTAGCACTGTGGATATTCATATTCATTCATATTTATTTCTATTCATATTTTGTATGTAATATAAGTAAATGATGAAATAAAAAAATATCTTTATGAAAAGATACCAGAGTATACACACTGGGGTAAATAATTTACGCAGTCCACCTTCGTGTTGATAAATTGACTGTTCTCGTCATACAAAATATCAAATCATTTATTGAGTCATGATAATTCTTCCAAGAAAATATGTCCCGTTCATAAATTGTCCCATCTCGAGTTATATGATATCTTATCAGTTTAACTGGTGCCTTTTTCATTCTGATACTCATCACATATTTCTGTTTTTACAACAGCAATATCGCTCTAGAAAGGGACTGATCTCCAATAATGATGTTTTGTTGTCACTTCAGTTTTAAACATTTTTACATATTTTAATGAGTGTCAAGGCATCTTTGTCCGTAGGGTATCATACTTTCAAGGTTGCTCTTTTAGATTTCTTGAAATCTTGGCAATTTGATATCAGCCTGGGTATAACACAGATTGGGACATTAGATGCTGATTGTTCCGATCCAGTCCAGTGGCAGACTGGTACCACGCTAATTATGCCCTTCGCTTATCATCTGAAATTATACAATAATTAATTTTGTAGTTTGAATTAACTAATTTAGGAAACTTTTTATATTATCTACCTTTTGTTTTAACTTTAATCAGCCCGAGTCTTTATGATAACACACGAGCATAATGCGATTGTTTCACTTCTCCGGGCGTATTTCAGGGGTAATTATAACGATGAAAAAATACTGAAAACTCCATTCAATGCAGTGATCGGGGCCATTTAAAATGTAAACTTTATTCAGAATGACATTCCCACGCATTTAATTATGTCTTTTTTAAATAGTTTTTAATTTTTGCTTTGATATAAATTTTGTGATCAGAGCTTCTCATGGGAACAAACCTGGTGGAGGGACAGAGTATAAAACTTTGACTCATTCTAAATGTATTTCAAACTTCTCTGGAAATCTGAGCAATGAGCATCGTACAAACTTATACATGGGTCTGTGTCTGCTAGTTGAAGCAAGGAAACCATCTGGATTTTGGATTCATTTAGATTAGGCGATGCTCTGCAATGGTATGAACACTTGGAGCAGCGCTGCTGTTATTACAACCCTCGTTGCTATGGTGAAGAGTATCGTTGCTATGGTAATGTGGTACATTGAATGTCTGTCCGTGTAAGTTATCCTAGTCCCGGGGTATTTTGAGACTCGGAATTTTGATATCTTACATAGATCGACATTGCATCTGCTCTACTAGGATACGCACATTGAATGAAAGAAAAAGAGGCGGGCACAGATGGACGATTACAAGAAAATTTGAAAATGATAAAAAATACAGTTATTTAGTTAGTTATATATTTATTAGAAAAAAATACAAAGATGCGGGGAAACTAAAGGCACAAAACGAGGATAAAGTAAGGGGTGACTTGTAAGTTGGCGTAGTCCAAGGTAGAAATGTCCTCTTGCGATTATGCTAACTTGCGGGAGGCTCAATCAAACAACATCAAAGACTGGTGATTTCATCGAAAATAAAATCATCTTGGAGACGCATCGTGTAATTAATTAACGTATGTGTACGGAGTAGTATATAGAAAAATAAAATAATGATACAATATTTTGCATAATTGTTTTGGGGTTGATATCAACATTGGTTTATGATCTCTTTAGGTAACCTTATAACAATGACATTTTACGATGATGATGTCATCGTTGAACTATGGTCTCTTCAAAAGATATCAGCATTGACTGTGATCTCTTGAGATGATGTCAACATTGACTGCACGCAAGTTGTATCTGCAGTCAGTTGGGACGTCATGCAATAGAGTTTAACAAGCCAACCAGATTTTTCATAAAAAGGTTAAATCCTCCGAGTGCAGAGGATGAGGAAATTGGAATTAATATTGTAACAAGGGTTGAGTAGAATAACCAAGCGGTCCGAGGGATATAGAGGTGAGGATTATCCCTCAGGAGAAAATGAGATGAAATGATTGGTTAGTTTAATATGGTATATTAAACAAACAAACAGACAGACAAACAAGCAAACAAACAAACAAACAATAGTAAGACAAAAGTTACAAGGCGTTCCTTAATGGTGTCCACGTTACATACGCAAGGGACAAGATCCAGATCCAGTACTTTAATGTACATGCAAATAAATATATATAATTAATGAGGGGCTTTGTAGATTTGTATGTTTGATGAATCTTATTGTACTTGATTCAACATGTAAAATTAATAAAACATAAAATAATTTCCGAAAACGGTTGACATTTATTTGAATTCAAAACAGATGTCCACACAATTTCATCGTTGGAAATTATCCACTTCGTCTCTTTAATTATTAAATGTTAATGAGCCAATTGCCCATAATGATATTGGTTCCTTAACACGCCTTTAGCTAGTCACAGGTATGGGCGCAATTTGTACCGACTCCGACCCAACCCAATCTTTTGCTCAGTCCTGTTTTAATTTGAAAGCTGGCTTTTGTCGCCGGTGTTTGTTGGTTCCCCATGCACCAGTAGATTCAAGCAGCATACAGTTACGGATCATGGGAAATCCACAGTTATTCACGTGGCCTCCCCAGGACCCTGGACTGTACGTTGCCAATTTTTTCACCACTACTCAACCCCGGTCCAACTAGACCCATCCGCGACGCCAGCGGCAATGTCGTCTTCGACCCACTCTCGATCAAACAATGTCGTCTACTTAATATTCAAATGACAGGAACTACTCCAAACATTATTGATTTGTGCATTTGCTGTTTAAATTGTGACAAAATACTTTTGTCTTGAAGATATACAATATAGCACTCTTATTTTCTTCTTCCACTTGTTTTTTAAGAAAATTCAGCATCTTTCCTGAGCACTATGTAAACTGGTTGTCCCAAACGTCCCTTCGCAATGATCGTCACCATTCCCCCAGCCCCTTATATCAA